ATTATCATCATCTGTGTCTTCTATTTCTGGCCCCGGGCCTCAGTCTTACTCTGACATTATCCTGGTGTGGTTGTCAGGAGCCAATTCACTTGCCCGAGGTCACAGTTATCTTTTGATTGTTAGTGAAGTTGTGTCTTGTCCTAGTCATCTTTATAGTTACTTTGATTCAGGAAGAACAGCAGTTCTGGAGCTAGGTTGATAAATTTTTATTTTTGCCCTGCTTCTCTCTGGTGCCTCTGTGGCTGTAGCATTCCAACCTGCAGTCTTTTCTAGGTTATGACTACCAGATCCCAAACTCCACAAATGGTATGGCCTAGGCTTTCTTAACCTAGTCTACATTTTCAGTGCCTCTGACTGCTTACAACCGCGGGACAGGAGAACCTCTCATTTTCAGCAGGATTTCATACTGTAAGACTGTTCACAGAAATGCTTTCCATCAGTCACCTCTTAGCACTAGCTTCTAGTACAAATTGTTTCCTTTAGGAAACCAAATTCATTCTCACATAGAGCATTGGTTTTGTTGTGGGCCTTTTAGAGGGAAACAGAAAATCTCAATGCTGACTAATCAGGGCTTGCAAAGGCACATAGGCATTAGCCTCTTCCACTGGTAAGTGGGAAACAAATGACTATGTCAGAGGACCCTATAAGATCCTGACTCTGGGATGCACTAGCAACATCCTTGTTTACTGGCCTCCTGCCCTTTCATTCTGAATGCATTATTTTGCCAATCTCGGCAGCTAGCATGTGATTCCAAAGCGTGACTTCTTCCTTTTAAGAAGTTTTCTTATCAGCTGGTTTTGTTCCTTGTGTGTGGCACGGAGTCTCTGTTTTCTGTCCTTCTGAGGAATAGATCCAGATACATTTTAGGATCCCCAAACATTTCCTGCTGTCTTCCTTAGGGCTTTGAATTGCAAGTACTTAATTTTAGAATGTGTCCTCTGGGTCCTTTGAGTCCTCTAGGCAGGATCTGGTAAAGTCAGATTATTAATCTCACCTTTCTTTGCACCTGCAATTCTATGCTAGTGCCAGGAGTACAAATGATCAAGCATGACTTCTGTCCTCATAGACCTTCAGTCTGGTGGTAAGGCAGATATGTAAACAACACCAAAGTATGATTAACTCTTTTGGGGGAGAGCATTGGTGGCAATACCTAAGTGGTTGCCTAGAATAGCTGGATTATTTAAAAACCCTATAAACCATTGGATATTCAGTTGGCCTGACTACCTTCTCTTTTCAGTCAGGTACCAGGAGTCTAAGAGAATATACTCTTATGGAGCTGCTGGTGGTAAGTGTATAAAGGAGATGAGGTTTTCAGCAGCCCCCTGACCCACTGTGAAGCCTGGCATTCTGCCTGGGATAGGGACATGGGGTGGTCAGAGACCTGTGATTTGAAGGTGAGATGGTCATTTACTGTTCTCACCCAGTATAAGCATGGACAGGAGGCCTGGGCCAATTAGGAAAAAGGCGCTAAGGGAGGCTGGACTTGGGAAACACTTTGGGGGAAGAAATGGAGGTTTCTCTGCTAGGAGGAGTTGGGCTGATGGGCGATATGTTGAATTACAGATGCACATGGAAGAACCTTGTTTTGACTTCCTTCGAACCAAGCAGACTCTTGGGTAAGTCTGCTGGCAAGGCCCTGAGCTCAAATAAGGGCCTAGGGCTGAAGTTTATCAGATATCCTTACTGAGCAGCCTGTTAGAACTTCCTTCCATCTCATAGGGTGACACTTACTCATCTAAACTTTTGAAATTCGTATCTTGGACTATAATCAGGTTTTCAGTTTGGTCAAGTTTCAATATAAGAAAAAAGGCTAGTTTGTGTTCCCCAATTCAGGAGGTATGGCCACCTTAACATTTTTGGCTCCTGTTTCAGGACCTCCAGTCCCAGTAAGGATGGGCAAAAACGTTTCCCACTCAGATCTAATGCCTCCAAGGACAGGGCCCAGATGACCACCTGAGCTCATATAACTTTTTTCTTTGGCTGTAGGTACCATGTCTACCCTACCTGTAGGAACACATCTGGGATTCTAGGATTTTCTGTCACCGTGGGGACTCAGGCAACCAAATACAAGTGAGTAAGGAAGTGAATAGATGAGTGTAACCTCCTATTATGGACATGGAGAGTAGCCAAGGGCTATGTGTGCTTCCTGAAACCTTAGGTTTGTTCTGTTTAGTCAGTGGAAGCTGGTGGTTGTTATAGATGGCCTGTTCTAGGACTGATCAATAGTTCCAGTGGCCATTGTGCAGGGCTTGCCAATGTTTCTTCTCTTCAGGAAGACCTGACGACAAGGAGGGAAAGGATGCTTGATCTGACATGCATGCTGAAACCTGTTTTCAGCTTTGGAATGGTCAAACATGGTTGTGACAGCTTCATTATGAGGAGACCAGGAAACTGGGCTGGAGGTGGGGTGAAGGGGAGGGTTTTGTTTTCTTCTTTTCCTCCACTTAAGGTGGAATACTGAGGCCTGGGAAAACACGTTAGCCTTTTTTCCTGGAAATACGTTTTAATTACTTCTTTTGGCTTCTGCCTGAGATCAGGTTTCTGATGACTGAATTGAAGGTGTTTTGTTTCAGTTCTGAAGTTGTTGATAAGAAGATAGAAGAGTTCCTTTCTAGCTTTGAGGAGAAGATCGAGAACCTCACTGAAGAGGCATTCAACACCCAGGTGACTGAGCCAGCCTGGTCTTTTGGCCTCTGGCCCACAGAAGCTCCCCAGTTACAAGTCTTAACTGGGCTATTTGTTGGCTAGTTTTTTAGCTTTGCAGCCCCACCTTACTCTTACCATAGTGTCCCCCTAGCTTCATCCCTATCATGCTGGCTCCATCACAAGCCAGGCTGGACAGGACCAGGTATGTTCTGGGAGAAGTGGTATGTTCCCACACCTGAGCATTTTTCTTTTCGGTGGGAACAGGTCACAGCTCTTATCAAGCTGAAGGAGTGCGAGGATACCCACCTTGGGGAGGAGGTGGATAGGAACTGGAATGAAGTGGTGACACAGCAGTACCTCTTTGACCGCCTTGCCCACGAGGTAACATGGTTTTCAGAATGAGACAGCCCAGACAAACTGGTGAAGGTTCCTGATTCTACAGGAGTCACAGGTCCATGCAAACCAGCATCGTGTGGCGGAGAAGCCTGAACACTAGCCCTGGCCTGGTTACTTGCCCACTTCTTGAGTTTTCAGACTGGCCTCTCTTAGCACCTTAGGTGGCCATGTGAGCTGGGTGCTAATCCTTACAACACTACCATCAATTTCAGTCAGAGAAGCTCTATTTTTGTGCTATATATTGAGGTTTACAAGATTTTGTGGAGAAAAAAGGTTTTGCCGTTTAAAGAAAATCGAGGACTCTTGTTTTTATGGCGTTCATTATTCCAGGTGCAGGTCTTTTGACAATTTCTATTCCAAAGTAGTAAAACCTGTGAAAAAGAGATCTGGATCCTGCAGTCCAGTGTGACTTTCGGTAATATATAGCCCCTATATGGTGAATTACCATAGGACATCATTGCTCTGTGATGGAAAGAGGTTATTCAACAAGAGGCTTCACCTTAACACACTCTAGTTTTCTTAATAGATTTCCTCAAGCCACAGTATGCAGTTACCATGTAATTGGGAGGTGACACTAATGAGATCTGGGTGCTGGGTTCAGTGTCTGGTATTTAGCTGTAATTATAGCATCTACTAACCTCTCTTGCCATTGTAGATGATTATAAAAAAACGTCAAGGTATGCCAGAGCTTCATCATTCTGGTCTGGAAGGTTAGGGGTAACCTAACCAGAGCTATTTTCTTCTAATTAATTTATTTCCTATCCTCCCTTCATTTGTAAGATTGAAGCACTGAAGTCATTCTCAAAATCAGACCTGGTCAACTGGTTCAAGGCTCATAGAGGACCAGGAAGTAAAATGCTCAGCGTTCATGTGAGTATGGTTAACTCCATCCTTTGTAGGGTTGTCACTTACTGAGTTTGGGTGGTTATCAGAGATCTTAAACCCCTAAATCTGGTCAGCATATTTTTCACCTTTGTCTTTGACCTTTTTCAGGTTGTTGGATATGGGAAGTATGAATTGGAAGAGGATGGTACCCCTTCTGGCGAGGATTCAAATTCTTCTTGTGAAGTGATGGAGCTAACATACCTGCCAACGTCTCCTCTGCTGGCAGATTGTATCATCCCCATTACTGATATCAGGGCTTTCACCTCAACACTCAACCTTCTCCCCTACCATAAAATAGTCAAATAAACTGCAGTCGCGTTGGCCTGAAGCAATCTGTGTTTTAAAATGTGTTTGTATTTTATGGAGTTATACTACTACTGCCTTTGAATTTTTGCACTGGCATCATAGCATTTGATTTACTTTTTATCCTTTCTTTGTTGAGACTAATAAACCCAGGGTTACTATAGGAGCTGGAGAAAAATTATTATTAGCAGAGTGGGCCAAGTGAGACCAGAAAGCTTGCAGCAGCACTTCTCAGAAGCCGTGGCCTGTGTCCTGAGACTGAGAATCTACTTCTTTCAAGGCCCTATGAAACCAGTATATTGAATAACTAAATGCTAGGTATTAGTGTTAGTACCTAAATGCTAGGTACTAATACCTAGTTGTTTCTTTTTTTTTTTTTTTTGATGTATTTTTAAATAAAGATAGTATTTCCCTTCAGAATGAGCCATCTGCTGCTGTGGCATTCATTTTATTGTATCTATTTTGGTTCACTGTGGGATGGGGATCCATATATACTCTTCCCAAATTCTCTAAGGCAGTAAGACATTTTTGGATAAAATGTTGGCAGGTAGCCCTACATGTGCAACATGAGTTTGGTGAAGATTCTGAGGAGTTGCCTGGCAGGGGCTAAAGACAGAACACAGAGTCTGAGAGAGGAAAAAGGAAAAGAATTGATCCTCCATTTTTTTAAAGTGTCTTTTTGAGAAGTTAGCTCCTGTATTCAAGGTTGTTAACTGGCTTCCAAGTTTAACTGTAAAGATAATAAAAGATGCATATTTTAAAAAAAGGTTGGAAAAAATTATGAAGCCTTAAGCACTAAGAATAATTAAACTGTAATTCAGGATTAGATACAATTTAATAATAGTTCAGTTCCAAAATAAAAGTTATTGTAGGTAAGACCATGAAATTTCCTAACACTTGATTTTAATACATTGTGCTAATTTTCTAAAACAACTCAGAGGAACCCATATTTACAGTAGGCAGAGTATTTATGAAAAAATCTGGCATCAGGTATATTTTAATGTGTGTGTATGTGTGTGTGAGTGTGTGTGTGTGTGTGTGTATACGTATGTGTTTGTATGTGGTGTGTATATAGATGTGTGTGTGTGTATGTATCCCAAGATTATATGGACTAAGAAACAGGTTGTATTTCTTAACAGCAGTACTAGAGTGTGGCGTTTCAGACATGGATTTATAAATGCTTTTCAACATGTGAGGTTTGGAAAAGGTGCAGACATCACCTTGTTTTCAAAACCTGAAGTTTTTCTCAGGACTGAAGTCAAAATCGTAACTGCCACAGAGGGAAAAGAGAACTTTTCCCACTTTAATTGTTCATCTGTGTCAGAAAGTCCAGTATCCCTGAGATAGGAACCACTGTAATAAGAAGGGAGTGAACAGGTTTCTCCCAAAGGAAGATCATTTCTTGCTGAATTATGCCTACTGCCCTGATCATCAGGTATAAACTTTGCATCTTCCAACCTAATGCTTGGCAGCACCAAGACGTTTTAGTAATGGTTCATCATAAACCCAACATTCTCCATCTTCATGAAATAACTGTAAGAGAAAGGGGGAGAATTTAGTTACATATTTGCTTTGTACTTCTATACTTATTTCATGTCTTCTCCCCGCCCTGCCATTAGACTGAAATGAGTTTCAAGTAGGGACCAGGGATCACCTTGTTTATTAACAGTGTTTGGCACACCACTTCTTTGACATTCACTGAAATAAATTCCTGCTCAGGTATAGGAGGAGTAGCACTTAGAAGGGTGGGGCAGGGAAGCTTACCCTTGTCTCCCACTGAATTTCCTTTTCCTTCCTTTCTCGGGCTTCTGCTCTTTGTCTTTCTTCAAGCCTGTGCTTTGCTTCAGTTGCTGCGTCAATGTCTCTGATTTTTAAGTTGAAAGTGACATCCTTCCAAAGGCTAAAACAAGGAGATAAGAGATGTTGGGAATGAAAGCCTACCACCACCCTTAATCTAGTATAGCACAAGTCAAATGGCTTCAAGTGCACCAGGGCACTGGAGTAAGGAACAGAGATAAGGGCTCAGCTAGTTGTCAAAGAAGGAAATAAGGGCTGCCTGATAACATGGTAAGGTCAACAGAAGAAAAAGAATAGGGAAGCTGAGACATTCTACTTCTGGCTCTGTGTCTTACTGTGCAACTCTGGGTCAATCAGCTTACCTCTCTAGGGCTTGAGTGTCCCTTATTATATACTGAAAGTGTTAGAGGAACTGAGAAGTTCCATTTCAGAAAAACTCCCGTGGATTTAACAATGTGGTGGAAAAAACAGTATGAACGGACAGAATAAGGATCAAGATGTAAATTACAGTGGCTTAAGGTAGTTAAGATATGGCCTTTATTCCCATTATTCCCATTTCAGGAAAGAAGGTAAAGCGAAGTTAGCTAACTTAGTCATCCACTACCACTTACTACTTACAAAGGTAGTAAGTGGGAGTTCTGACATATCAAACCTGGGCATTCAAACCGGGTCTATATGCTGTTAGGCTCTGCTCTACTGGTTCTAAAACCCAGCCTTGTGCCTACGCCTAGGCAGTTTAAGCATTGCAGCAATAGTTCCACTTAATGTCAGCTTACCTGCGGGATTCATACTCGTTCTGATCTTCCAACTTCCTCACTTTCTTCTTGATTATAGGCAACTTCTTGGTATCTACAAAGACTGTATTTTCCTAGAAAACAATAGAGGTGGATGAGGAACTAGACCCATAAACCCCTAATCTGAATGTTAAGCGCACTGTAGTGCTTTTGACATTTCAAATTCTCTAGGTCCAAAACATAGTTCACTGGCTCCTCCTGTTAATTTCATACCAGCTTTCCTCTTTGCTTGAGGAGAACACTGAGTGCACAGTAGTACAGAGTGCAAGTTCCTTGAAGGAAAGGACTATCTTCCTCATTTCAGTATCTCTGGTGCCAGGCAGTCAGTAAATTTTATTATACAAAATCTTTAACTGTGCATCTATGCAAACACACCGTTTACTGCTTCATTTTATAAACATATCACACATACCTAACATTTACTGGGTTCTTAACTATGTGCCAGGCATTGTTTTACACATATTATTCTCAAGTGTTTTGTTTGAGAGCAGAGAGAAAAGTAAAAATGATTATAATCAGCTATACTGCTGGGAGAAGGTGGGGGAAGGAAAGAAAAAGCGTGCCCTGAGATGACAGACATTATAGCTGTCTTACAGTTCAGCTCTAATGTACTATAGAAGGAAGTGCATTATAACAGAAGTACTAATGAAGGAAGCCAGAACAAGGGATAGGGTACAATCTAACGTAGCCTAAACAAGTGGCAAAATAGAGGATCTTACCCCTGTTGCATATTTTGCATACATCACACCATTCCATTCCCCTTCAATTGAGCAAAAAGACTTCTTGTCATTTGGAGAACTGAACAGAAAAGGAAATACTTGTGTTAAGTCTCAAGTTGAAAATTAATTCTACCAAAGAATCTGCTCAACGTGGCCCAACTACAGAGTAGAGGACAGAAGAGCAACTGTGACGTTTCTGACAAAAGTATCTTAACAGAACTGGACTCCCCAGGGCTTACTTTAAGAATGAGGGCCTTCAACAAGATGCTTATGAACTCGAGATCCCAGGAACAGTGGGTAGGGGCAAGAATGTCCTATTCTGGATGCTAGGACCATAATAGACTTGGCAAATTCCCTAACCTCAAGCTATCTACAGCCTAGTGGAGAAAGACATCACCACTGAGATTCTAGGTGGTAAGTGCTGTGGTAAGCTTACATGGGCATTGGGGTTCAGGAGCAAAAAACTGCTGATGCCAGGGTCAGGGAAGGCTTTGCTTTAGAATATAATGCTGGAGACTAGGCTTTCATCCTCAGGTTGAAAGGGATCTCTGTGTCAAATGGTGTGGACACTTTCCCTGAGCAAGGATCCATTCTGCAAAAGCCATAACAGACCTCTACTTGAACACACAAGTATGGAATGTGAGAAGACTAAGCAACACAACAATGGCTTGGTTAGGAAGGGCAAGGCATAAACAAGACTGAAAGAGGCCAGAAAAGGGAGAAATGAACAGGGCAGAGGGAGGAGAGCTGCTATCCATGCCTGAAACTTTCTTTCCCACTGTCCCCTTCCCCCCAATGAAGGGCTTCAGAGGCAGAGAAAGTCAAGGTGGCATCACTATAGAAGTTCCTCTTCTAGGCTCTGGACCAGCCCAATTGACTGGCACTGTCATCTTCATTCATCTGACCCAAGAGTGTCAAATGGAAACAAGCCAGATGCCTGCAAAATGTGATGGTTACTGTTTTTCCCCAGCAAAGGCACAGATGTGAGGACTTGGAGGCATTGCTGCGGGGGTCACAAAATCTGCTGTAAGGACCAGCTCATGGTCCAGTCTGGCAAGAATAAATTAGGGATCCAAACTGGGGTTGGCTAGGCAACCTAGAAAGCCCTCTTTCAGTTCAACATCTCAAGTCAGGTTCTTAGGAAGGAAACCTATCAATGACTTCTGACTGCTCTGAATATAGGTTTTAGGTCTCTGATACGGGATTTTAACAAAAGACATGACACATCAAATGTGAAACAAGCTTACAAAGACAGAACCATTCTTTCATAGTCCTAATCCAGAAGCTATAGTTCAAGACAAAAGGCAATTATTTCAAAAAAGCTTTAGAGCTCTGAGGCAGAAAAAATACCTACAAAATCTCAGCAGTAATTCTGTGCTTCTTGCCCCCATAGAAGGGTTTAGTGTGGAAGATGATATTTGCACTATAGCCTGTTTTGGAACAATTAATATTGCATTCTCCTCCTAATTCCACCCAGGGCACTGTGAGGATAGACCTGCAAAATCAAAAGTTTTTAGGTAAGGCTGACAGTTAAGAGGAAATACGGGGAAGGGATGGCATGTCTCAAGGAACAGCAGAGTCTACTGCTGATCAAAGGAAATGGACACACTTGCCTTCCATAGCCATTGGGGAATGTGAGAATGTAATGTTCATCATAGTCTAGACATGAGACACAGCCTGTGGAGAGAAGGGATAGAATATCTGATGAGTAGTGTCAAGTGGCTACAAGGCTTTCTTGTTGAGTTGATGGATACTCCATTCAATTTAGGGACAACCTATCCAGTTCCCCCCCTTGCTCTCACCCCCAATACCAATGCTTACTTGCTAACAACAACATCTAGTCTGGCTTTTGGGGCCATTTTCTTTCACTAGACAAGTGTCCACATCACACATTAGAATGACATAAAATTCTGTAACATGGTAGTCTACCCAGTGCCAAAAGACTTACCCTGCCCTATGTTATGAACCCCAATTGACATCCCAAGGAATTTTGATTTGGTCCAGATATGAGCATTGAATTGTATCTTCTTGTTAAAACACTCAGCATAAAAGGCTGAAACTGAATAGAAATTTTCAATTAGTACATTATATACCTACAGCCATCTCTCCAAAATCATGTAACCTGGGGAAATAACTTGCTTCATAGGGAAATCTTTTACATCTCAAACAGCCTCCAATTAGGCCAGGAGGTACCTACCTGCCTTTTATACCCTTTTCCCCAATGCAAGCATTCATTCAGAGCCATGTGGGCAGGACCATCCCTGAAACAATGCCGTGAGCGATCCAGGAAGCTTAAAATCAAAAGGGCTATCTGTTCTGGTCTGCAAGTATGCCCAGGCCCCAGCCCCAACCTAGGCTCATCCAGTGTTTCCAGTTTTAATACTGCACTGAACAAACAAGATGTTGAGGGTATTTACAATTGACTCTCCATATCCATGGGTTTTATACCCCCAGATTCAGCCAACTGTGGATCTAAAATATTCAGAGGCTGGGCTCAGTGGCTAACGCCTGGGAGGCCTTGGGAGGCCATGACAGGAGGATCACTTGAGGCCAGGAGTTTGAGACCAGCCTGGGCAACACAATGATACACTGACTCTACAAAAAAATAAAAAAAATTTGTTGGGTGTGGTGGCACATGCCCATAGTCCCAGCTAATTGGGAGGCAAAGGTGAGAAGATCATTTGAGTCTAGGAGGCTGCAGTGAGCTATAACTGTGCCACTGCACTCCACCCTGGGGGACAGAGCAAGATCCTGTCTCAAAAGAAAAAAAATAAAATAAAAGAAATACAGTAAAAATTTATATTTACATAGCATTTACATTGTATTAGGTATTATAAGTAATCTAGAGATGACTTAAGTATATAAGAGGGTATGCGCATAGGTTATATGAGTATAAAACACATCATTTTATATAAGAGACTTGAGCATCCCCGGTTTTGGTATCTGCATTGTACCAGGAATATACTGTGCAGAAACTACATATCACTTATCTAAACTGCCTCACAGTTGCTGAGGTCTCTACAGCACAAATTACTATATATAAGATGACTTTGGAAGCATTAAAAGTTGGTTTCCTAAATCCCTTCTTTTTATACATACTTAATTGGTTAAGCTAAGAGTCTGGAGCTTACAAAAGTAAAAGATATGAGGAACCAATCATTTCCATTTCAGGGAATAGCAAAGACACAGCTAGCCACACAGCCATGGAGCTTTTAATCACCCAGTTTAGACAGAAGAGTTTGAGAGCAGAGATTGCAGAGGAGCTCTGTAACTTACTGGGTGGATGATGGGAAACCTGCTCAGCCACGAATGTTACACTGTTTTTGGAAACCCAGGGAACTGGTCCTTCTGAAACTAGTTCCTGCAAGCAAATATAATTTTCTTTTGATGAGAAAACACAAATGACATTTCTGAGAATCTGATAATTGGGGTCTCTGCTCGCTCTACACACACCAAGCACTCTACATATATATCTCTACTGTAGCACTTAACTACAATATTTTAATTGCTTTGTGTCAGTCTCCCTGACTAGACTAAGACATTCTTAAAGGCAAGGACTGTGTGCCTAACTCAGGGCACAGAAGAGTAGGTACTTATCAATGTCTGCCAAATGATTAAGAATAGACACAGACTTGTCTGTCTTCAATATGGACTACATGTAATGTGTCACTTGGAAAGGGAAATATACGGAGAATCATTTTACTGACAGATTATTATGTGTCAGGTGCTGTGGGCTATGGTTTTGGTTTTTTCAGTTCTAAAAGCCTTTTAACATGCATTTGAGTCTTACTTGCTGGTCATTTTCTTTAACCACAAAATTTTTTGGAGCCTCAGAGCCAGTTCTGGGTTACCTACTCTTCTGTAGCCATGCTGTCTTCCTAAATAATTTTATCCAATCCTAGAGCTTTAAAATGCCATATGAATACACTATAATCTCTGAGAGCCCCATCTCCATCTCAGACCTCTCTTAAACTCCACACTCTTAAATTCTAACTCCCTACTTGACAAGCTTCACAGACTTCTGAAACTTTATATTTTATATTAGAACTTTTGATTTTCCCTCCTCAAATCCAATCTTTTCCTTATCAGTAAGTGACACTGCCACTGCTATAGTGCCCATGCTGTCTCCTGTTCCTTACCTCCCCCAATCCATCAATCATTTCTACCACCAAAATAAAGCCTGAATTACCATGTCTCTTTTGGAACAATGTCAAAGCCTCCACGATGGTCTCTATGCTTCTATTTATGCCCCTTCTCAATTTATTTTTCACAAAATCATTCTAATGATCTTCTCAAGACAAAAATGAGACCCTGAAAAGCCATAAAATTATATTATGGCCTACAAGGCCTTGCAAGATCTGATTTCTACATCCCTATCCTCATCTCATCCTACTCTTTTTCCTCCTCCTCACTAAATTCAAACTATACTGATCTATCAAAAATTTCTTCTATGGGTGGTGACCATCTTTTGATCATTGTTTCATCATTATTATTTGCCCCTAAATAAAATGAAATCTTGAATCAGTATACAACTTAAGATAGTTTAAAAATGTCAATGCAGAACTCACTGTGTTCTCTTCCGTATCATTTGGTAATGTCCAATGACACTGAAAGATCTCGCCCAAAATGGGATTGTATGGCTTTTTGGCAACTGATCCTTTCCTTCCTGCATGAAAGGCTGAGAGGTACCATTTCACAACCTGAACCATTCGATCCTTGGGATCCTTGTGGTCACTAATGCTACAAGGAAGAAAGACAAAATTTAATGTCCTTCTTTTTGATAGAAGACAAGATGATGCAGCGACCCCCAGCAGGTCCACCTAAGTCAGGCTGAGAGGACTGAGGACCTAGGATCAGGAGCTAGCTCAAAGTTTCTTTTTAAAACAGAGGTATAATATATACAATTAAGTGCACTGGTCTTAGTGTTTTGTTTTAATTTCAACAGATTTTTGGAGAACAGGTGGTGTGTTTGGTTACACGGATAACTTCTTAAATGGCGATTTCTGAGATTCTGGTGCACCCATCACCCGAGCAGTGTACACTGTACCCAGTGTGTAGCGTTTTATCCTTCACACCCCTCCCACTCTTCCCCTCGAAGCCCCGAAGTCCACTGTATCATTCCTTTGCCTTTGCATCCCCCTAGCTTAGCTTCCACTTACAAGTGTGAACGTATGATGTTTGGTTTTTCATTCCTGCGTTTCTTCACTTAAAATAATGGTTTCCAACTCCCTCTAGGCTGTTGTGAATGCCATTTTTTTGTTCCTTTTTATGGCTGAGAAGCATTCCACAGTGTATGTATGCCACAGTTTATTTGCTATTTGACTGATGGGCATTGGGCTGGTTCCATATTTTTGCAACTGCAAATTGTGCTCCTATAAACATGCATGTGCAAGTGTCTTTTTCATATGACTTCTTTTTCTCTGGGTAGATACTCAGGAGTGGGATTACTGGATCAAATGGTGGATCTACTTTTAGTTCTTTAAGGCAGCTCCACAGTGTTTTCCATAGTGGTTGTACTAGTTTACATTCCCACCAGCAGTGTAGAAGTGTTCCCTTTTCACCTATCCACATTAACAGCTATCATTTTTTGAATATGGCCATTCTTGCAGGAATAATCTCATTGTGGTTTTGATTTGCAGTTCCCTGATAATTAATGATGTTGAGCATTTTTTCATGTTTGTTGGCCATTTGTTTTACTATCATTAGCTTCATTTCAGAATTGTCTATTCATGTCCTTAACCCACTTTTTGATGGGATTTTTTTTTTTTTTTCCTGATCTGTTTGAGTTCCTTGTAAATTCTGGATATTAGTCCTTTGCCGGATGCGTGGTTTGTGAATATTTTCTCTCACTCTGTGGACTGTTTACTCTGTTATTTCTTTTGCTGTGCAAAAGCTTTTAAATTTGACTAAATTCCATCTATTTATCTTTGCTGCATTTGCTTTTGGATTCTTGGTCATAAAGTCTTTGCCTAAGCCAATGTTCAGAAAGGTTTTTCCAATGTTATCTTCTAGAATTTTTTGTTTTGGACAGAAGTAGAAGGAATCTTCTAGAATTTTTATGGTTTTAGGTCTTAGATTTAAGTTTCTGATACATGTTGAGTTGATTTTTGTATATGTGAGAGATGAGGATCCAGTTTTATTCTTCTATATGTGGCTAGCCAGTTATCCCAGCACCGTTTGTTGAGAAGCGTGTCCTTTTCCCACTTTATGTTTGTGTTTGCTTTGTTGAAGATCAGTTGGCTATAAGTATTTGGCTTGATTTCTGGGTTCTCTATTCTGTTCCATTGGTCTATGTGCCTTGGTCTTAGTGTTTTGTTTGAGGATTTGACAAATGCATATATCGATTTAATTAATCATCACTTAATAAAAAAATAGAATATTTCCATTAATCCAGAAGGTTTCCACATCTCCCTTTGCAAACAATCACCACATCTTACCCTGAGGCTAATACTGCTTCTGGTTTCTAGTATCATACATTAAGTCCATGTAAGTGCATTGCTTAATTGTCAAAAAATTGGATATTTTCTCCATGTTATCAATTACTAATTTAATTCTTTCATAGGTGTAGAATATACCCTGTATGAATCCAACTATTTTAAATTTATTAAGACTTGTATATGTTCTATCTTGATGAACATTTCACATGCACCTAGAAAAGACTACATGTTATACAATTGTTGGGTAGTGTTTAGAAAGGTGAATTGGGTCAAGTTGATTTGATAATGCTGTTTAAATCTTCTATAGCCTTCCTGATTTTTTGAGGGGCAGGGAGGTGGTGAAGGCAGAGGCTACTTGTTTAATCAGACCTTGAGGGAGAATTTGTGGACTTGGCTATTTCTCATTTTAGTCAATTTTTGTTGCTGCATGTGTTTTTAAGCTGTTATTAGGTACATACACATTTAGGAGTATTATTTATTCTTGATAAATAGATGCTTTTATCATTACAAAATATTCCCATTTGTCTCTAATAATATTTCTTGTCTTAAAAGTCTCCTTTGATACCAACACAGCTACACCAGTTTTGCTGTGCTTAGTGTAGCTTTGTCCATCCTTTTACTTTTAACCAGTGTCTTTATATTTAAAGTTTGTCTCTTGAAAATATCATATAGATATATCCTGCTTTTTTTTTTATCCAGTCTGACATGAAATGGAGTGTGTATTCTACTTACATTCAGTGTAACCGTTGATATAGTTGGGTTTAACTCTACCATCTTGATAGGTTTTCCACATTTCCCCTTTGTTCCTTATTCCATTATTTCTCCTTTTCTCCTTTTTTAGAAGTAATGGAGTATTTGTACTATTCTGTTTAATCTTATCTATTGGCTTTTGAGCTGTACTTTTACTTTTTTAAGACAGGGTCTTCCTCTGTCACCCAGGTTGCAGTGGTGTGATTATAGCTCACGGCAGCCTTAAATTCCTGGGAGTGCATGACCCTCTTGCCTTAGCCTCCCAAGTAGCTGGACCTACAGGTACATATCATCATGCCTGGCTTATTATTTAAAATTTTTTTTGTAGGGACAGGGTTATGCTATCTTGCTCAGGCTGGAATTAAACTCCTGGTTTCAAGCAATCCTCCCCCTTTGGCCTCCCAAAGTGCTGGGATTACAGGCATGAGCCACTGCACCTGACCTGTAAATAAAGTGGTTGTTTTGGGGGCCTCAAAGTTTAAATTCTCACACATAAAAACTACCCTTAAATCTCAAATCTATACCCAATGAACAACTGGTATGTTCCATTTTTACTTACACATGTTACAAATAAATGCTTAAATTTTACTTTTAAAATTATCTGTTAATTTAAACACTGCCATATTTATTTAAATTTCTGCTTTTTGGGAATTGGTTATTCTTTTAAATCTTCAAGAAAAAAAAATATATTTATCAATGTCAGCCAATGTGTCTACTCAGCATGAAACTTCAGTGATAGGTATCTGGCTCAGTAAACCATAGTCCAAGACTAAGGAATGCAGAGAAGATGAACTAACAACATTCCCCATTACAAAAAAATTTCTTGCTGCCAGCAAGGCAATGTAAACTCACCTCCTTGTAAATGAATTCACCTTTACATTACTTCTATCTCTCATACATATATAATATTACAAGCTTTACGTTTAAAATTTATAAATTGTCTATAATTTGGATACTAAATTGTAAGCTCCTCAAGGACAGACACTGACGTTCCTTTCTCCAACTCTTAAGAAAGTGCCTAGCAAAAAACAGGTGCTTTAGAAAGGTTTGCTGAACTCAGATAATTAAACTTCATTAGGATATAGTACAAATAATTTAACAGTAATTGCCAGTACCTGCATCAAATAAACTTATACCGCTGGTCTTGTAAATGTTGGCTACCTATTAATGGGTTCTTGAGAACTTTTTAAAGTGTTAAACTTGGTTGCCTAACAACATCACCTCCATATAACTTAATCAAACAGATAGGTATCCAGTATAAACATATTATTCAATACCACAAAATACCCAGAAATGTTTGAAAGGTGACAAGGAATCCATCTGTCCTGCAAAAAGGCAGAAAGCTATTGAGTAACATCTTTAAAAGTTGGAAACTACCATGTTCAGTCAAATACCTCACAAACAGGTCCGGATGTGCAAAAAAGTCTGCATACATTTCTAAAAGAGATCTTCTTTCAAGAATAAATGTTGGAAGAACTACCTGAAAAACATACACATTTGACCCTTGAAGAAATTTATCTTCAGAGAAACAGATCTTTAAAAGAGAAAAGAAAACAAAAAACCATCTCATTCAAATCATGGTAACATCTACCACATATTGCCCAGGCATGCTTCCAAAAACTAATTCTCAAACTGTTCAGATTCAGAAATGCCCATTAACCTGCCCAGCAGATCAAAAACAAAGAACGGGTTTTGAATGTTCAAATGTCACTTCCTCTATGCAACTTTCCTTTTCTCCCTGAGTGTACTAACATCAACAGACTACTCAACAGACTCATTCAGAGAAATCCTTTGATGCCTCCTGTCTGCTGGACATTACATATACATTATTTTATTATTTGTATATTACATACACATTATCTTACAACAGCCCTAAAGAAATTATTAGCCCTAAAATGAAGAAATTATCACAATGAAGAAATAAGAAGCCTGGAAAGGGTGAAAAATTTTTTCCACTGTCCCATTGTTAATGTGGAATTCAAAACTGGATCTGAGTTTGGGGTGTATGTGCACTTTCCTCTCTACTGCTGTTGCTCTTATCATCATTAGACAAGTATATAGAAAATCTATGATAAGCACCTACAATCCAAGAACTAAGTTTTATTCACACCTGTGCTCTCATTACTATTTATACAGTAAGAAACTTTTAAATGAGCAATTAAAGGAAAAAACAAAAGGAAGAAGAGAATACAGACTGGGAACCAACAAACTGGGATAGAGGAAGACATGAGAAAGACGAGGATTAACCAATAAAAAAAGAGAAGAATTCCATTACAGAATGGGAATGGAAGAAGAGTCTTTGAAATGAGTATCAGCTTATCAATCATCCATTATGAAGTAGAACACCAGAGTAGGCAAAAATTTCTTCACATTTAGTAATAACTACATATCCACTATATTCAAGGTCCTTTGAATGCAGGACCTTGAATATAGTGGATATTCAAGATCCAGCCCAGTTGGAGGCTGGGCGTAATGGCTCACGCCTGTAATCCCAGCACTTTGGGAGACTGAGGTGGGCAGATTCCCTGAGGTCAGGAGTTTGAGACCAGCCTGGCCAACATAGTGAAACCCCGTCTCTACTAAAAATACAAAAATTAGCCGAGTGTGGTGGCTTGTGCCTGTAGTCCCAGCCACTCAGGAGGCTGAGGTAGGAGAATCGCTTAAACCCAGGAGGTGGAGGTTGCAGGGAGCCGAGATTGCACCACTGTACAGTCTCGGGGACAGAGCAAGACTCCATCTCTAAATGAATGAATGAATGAATGAATGAATGAGTGAATGAATGAATGAATGCAAGCTATGGTGGAAGCAAAGGTAAGTATGAGAGAATTACAAGAGCATTTAAATTGTAGATGGACTGTGACAAAAATCATACAATAAATGCTCTAAGCACCTTGGAAGTTCAGTTCAAGGAAATAACTATGTTCTGTTTGAGGGACCAGAATGAGGGCAGGGCTGGGAAGCAATTCTTTGAGGTGACACTAGAGAAAAGCCTTAAAGAGTAATGCTGTGATAAAAGAACAAGACATGGAGAAGAGAGAGAAAAAAAAGACAAGGATAGGAAAAGGGGTGTGACAGGGATTAATCAGTGAACCAGTGTGGCCGGACATATAATGAAAATATAAAGTGGGCTGATGAACACAAGCTTAGAAAGGGACACTAAGACTGTAACACTTAGAATCTTTATTATTAGACTCTCAGCATTTATATTTTAGGTATACTTTTTTTTTCCATAGTACATGTAAATTCATAATCCAAATAGGGTTAGATTAGCAGGTAAGCTGATATACTGACTTAGTGCAACTTCTTACCACTTTAGGTAACTCAGAAATTATAAACCACCAAGTAAAAAGGCTAAAGAAGAAAACAGGGGTAAATATCTTTAATATATAAACAGCTCTTACAATTCAAGATAAAGATCACTACTCCAGTGATAAATGGACAAAGGAACTGAACAGCCAATTTAAAGAAAAAAGAATAGCCAAAAAACATTTTTAAAAAGTTTAATTTCAGGCCGGGCGCGGTGGCTCACGCCTGTAATCCCAGCACTTTGGGAGGCCGAGGCGGGTGGATCACGAGGTCAAGAGATCAAGACCATCCTGGTCAACATGGTGAAACCCCGTCTCTACTAAAAATACAAAACATTAGCTGGGCATGGTGGCGCGTGCCTGTAATCCCAGCTACTCAGGAGGCTGAGGCAGGAGAATTGCCTGAACCCAGGAGGCGGAGGTTGCGGTGAGCCGAGATCGCGCCATTGCACTCCAGCCTGGGTAACAGGAGCGAAACTCCGTCTCAAAAAAAAAAAGAAGAAAAAAAAGTTTAATTTCACATGTAATTGAAATAGAAATATTTTTTCTTCTACTTGGGATTTTTCTGAGAACTCTCATTTAACAGATTGTCCTCAATGTTTGCAGTGCTATATTGATACATGCCATTATGTCAAACTGCTGCAACAATGATGAAGACAGCTGGCTTTGGTTGTCTTCAACCTGGGTTCAAGTGCTTGTTTAGTCTCTTCTTAGCCTCTGAGGAGGCCCTAAAAAATTAACTCACTCTCTAAGTTTCTGAAAAGGAAGATAATTACATGTCCTGCTTATATCTTAGGGTTGTTTTAAAGACTAAGTGAGGTTAAATGGGATGTGACTGTGTAGTATTTTTAAAAACTACAAAGTATTTGGAAAACAAACTTTTTGGGAAGTCTCTGAAGAGAGAAAACATTCTTATAAAAGACACAAATTTAAGGCATGATTGTAATAATACTTTAGACTGCATAAAAGGAATCAAGATTTCAGAATCTGTTGGCAATCACAGCCATCTGTCCCAATAAATATTTCAAATATTTTAAACACATTCAGTAAAAAATAATTATGATTAATTTCATAATATAACAAGCTTTTAGCAGCTATGGACTCAAATATGGATTTGCAGAGAAAATTGCATGAGGCAAGAATTACAACTTGACTGTGGCAAACATATTTGGTTGCCTCCCCACATCCATGCTTCACCCCTAATAGAACTCTGATTCAGTTCAGGTTCAGCTATGCGCTGCCATGGCCCTCTCCCACGTCTCAAGGGGTAAATGTGGATTAATTTAAACCAATCTTTGAGCATCTCCCTTGCCAGTGACAGGTTTAGACACGAACATATGCCTGATGCTGGCCAATGAGATTCAACAGGAGGCCTAATGGGTCACTTCTGGAAAAGAATGTCCTTCCTAATAACAGCGGCAACAACAACAACAGAGCCAGCAGCTGTGCAATCTAAAGATTACTGAAGCATTTCTAGGGACAAACTCCTGAAAATATTCTCCTACCTAGAACATTCCTGGTAAGTGTGTTGGGCTCCACAAATAAATGTTGTCCTTGTGTTTCTGTTCTCACTTAGATTAGGGGCATAAGGTTTAATTATAGACACTTATTTGAAGGTCTTATTAATCAGTCTTTTTCTTAATAGCCCTCTAAATCCAAAACAAAATGGAGTTAACTACTGACAAAGACTATAGCACTGGAGTTGATTTGGCTCTAACAAAAGTGAAAACCCTAAATTTAATAAACTCCCCAAAGCTGGGCAGAACACTAATTTAATCAATATGAAAGCTACTACAGTCCAGGCCTTCAAGACAAAGGCAGCAGTGGAAAGATTACAGGTTTTAAAATCATGGACCAGATTAGAATCTCAGTCTGCCACTTGATATGACTTCATATGACTCTGCCACATTACTTCACCTCTGAGTTTTAATTTCCCGATGAAGTTAACAATAATGCCTACACTGTGGTACTGTGGTGAGAATTAAGTGAAAGACTGAGGCTTCAAGCACAGTGGCAGGAATATACAAAGGCACCCATACACCAGTCTCCTAATTCACGTGTGCACTCTGTTGAGAGCTCCAAGTTAAAATTCAAATTCAAATCTAGACTATGATAATTTTGTATGACTCAATATGTGTCATACAATTTTACATTCACTACAGTCTCTTCCAATCTTTACAACAACCCTCTGAAACAGGTTACCGTGTGTCCAATTTGCATAGAGAACTCTGAAGTCCACAGAGGAAGAAACTCACTGAAGCCCATGCATGGTTTGCTAATAGCAGAGGCAGGATGAAAACACAGATCCTCTGACCCTAAGATTAGAACTCTACTAAATCTTAATCCATACAACTCATACACACTATTCTCTATGAAATTATCCTAGCTTCACTTATTTTATAATTTATAAAATTTTTACTTATCTACACATATATTAAATCACAAGAAAACACAAGTATAAACAGAAGTTATGTCATTTTACTACATTTGCAGGCACACTCACCATGCAATCACTGAGAATCCATACATACTCATTTAGACTTACAGCAAATTTGGTTCTTACCTTAGTAAGATCCATCCCAAGCCTAACCTGTGACAAGAGATGCATAATAACGCTCTTGTGCTCCTCCACGGACCCTGCCTCCGCATCATCATCTCTATCGTCATGTGAATCGAAAAGGTCTAAAATAAAGCACATTTTATTAGACTGGTGCTAAATTGGGCCAATCTATGTTGCTACTAGAATTACAAATATTTTTAAAGAAAAAAAGTTAAATTCTTAAAGGTCACTCACCAGCATCACTTGTTCCATTGGACATGGAAGAATTAAGTGATTCTGTGGTATCTGGGCGTTTTAGACTATTTGCTGAGCTGCTGTGTGTCAGGACTGAGGCAGATCCAGAAGAACTATAAAAACATTAATCACCTTATTAAGCTAAAGAAAGCAATTTAGAATTATGGTAAGCTAGACTTGTACATGCATGCTGGTTACATGCATGCATACATATGCTTTAGAATTCTCTCCTAGCCACCCTCATTCCAACATTGTAAAGTGTGATGACAGGGTCTCTTGTATTATCCTTTATGCATAGGACATGCTCAACATAGCCATGTTGATAGTCATGGCCTAGAAGTCACCAAAATTTAGTAAGATCTTTGCCTCTGCATTTAGGTTTAAAACTAGAGTTCATTTTCTGATTTTGTTACCGGGTATAAATCTAAATATGTCACATTTCTTGGCAACAATTCCAGAAACTCAAAAACGGCAAGTCTCAGAAAGACGTCTTGTCTCTATGTTTGAGATCCTTTGATAAAAGCCCACGTTTGTATTAACACTCTTCCTAATCATTAAAAAACTGTATTTGAAATTATAAAATAAATTATTTATACAAGTAAATTTACGTTAACTGGCTTTTATGAGCCAGTTAACAGGTCTAAAGATTCTCCTATTATTAATAGATTATCATACTTGTGCTCACATTTTATCCAGGGAAGTGCGTGCGTGTGTGGGTGTGTGCGTGTGCGTGTGTGTGTGTGTGTGTGCATGTATTTATATTTTTCTTAGAGACAAGGTCTCCCTATGTTGCCCAGGACGGATTTGAACTCCTGGCCTCAAGTGATCCTCCCACCTCAGCCGCCCAAGTCACTGGGTTTACGGGTGTGAGCCATCACACTCAGCTGATATTTGCATATAAATAAAGAAAAAAAATAAAAAAGGCATATAATTTACTTATTAAATGTAAAAACTGAAATCAAATTTCTCATACTGTATTTATAAAATCGTATACATACAACAGTCTTATTACAAATCTACAGGTACGAAAACATATTATGTTTTCTAATCTAATCATTGTTTGGTCTTGTTACTTACCTTTTTATTTTTTTAAATTAATAAACTTTATTTTTAGAGCAGCTTTAGGTTTATGGCAAAACTGAACAGGAAGTACAAACAGCATCCATATACTCCCTGTTCCTAAACATGCAAACCTCCAGATCAACATCTCATACCAGAGAGGTATGTTTCTTACAATCAATGAACCTACATTGATACATCATTATCACTCAAAGTCTACAGTTTACATTAGGGTTTACTCAAAGTTGCGTATTCTATGGGTTTTAATAAATATATGACAACATGTATCCACCGCTGTATCATACAGGATAGTTTCACTGCTCTAAAAATCCTTTGGGCTCTGAATATCCTCTAGAATATTAGGATATTCTAAAATTAGAATATATTATGTATTCTAGTTTGCCCTGGTTATGTACCTATTTTTCAAAATTCCTTAAGTAACTAAATATTACTTCTTTGATAATTTAGTAGATTACAAAGTATTATAACTAACGTCCAAGTCACCAGTTTTGAGAAGCAATGGAAAATATGTCTAAAAGACCTAGTTAAAAGAACCAAATTATCATTAAATGATAGAACTGGGGCCAGGCATGGTGTAATTCCAACACTTTGGGAGGCCAAGGTGGGAGGATCACTTGAGCCTAGGAGTTTGAGACTAGGCTGAGTAACAAGGTGAGATCCCATCTCTACAAAAAATAATTAAATAATTAAATTTATTAAATTAATGATTAAGTAAAATAAATAAAATCATTAAATAAATCACTAAATTATTAAAATTGCAATGAGCCAGGATTGCACCTCTGCAAACACCTGGGCTCAAGTGATCCTCCCGCCTTGGCAACCCAAAGTGTTGGAATTACAGGCATGAGCCACCATGCCTGGCCTCAGTTCTATCATTTAATGATAATTTGATTTCTCTTACCTAGGTCGTTTAGACATATTTCCCACTGCCTCTCAAAACTGGTGAGTTGGACATTAGTTATGGTACCTTGTGATCTACACTACTCAATTATCAAAGAAGTAATATGCAGTTACTCAAGGAATTTTGAAAAATAGGTAAGTAACCAGGGCAAACTAGAATACATAATATATTCTAATTTTAGAATATCCTAATATTCAAGTGTTCTAAAGCAGAGCCCAGCTTGGGGGACAGAGTGAGATTCTATCTCAAAAAAAATTAGGCCGGGCGCGGTGGCTCATGCCTGTAATCCCAGCACTTTGGGAGGCCGAGGCAGGTGGATCACGAGGTCAACAGATTGAGACCATCCTGGTCAACACGGTGAAACCCCGTCTCTACTAAAACTACAAAAAATTAGCTGGGCATGGTGGTGTGTGCCTGTGGTTCCAGCTACTGGGGAGGCTGAGGTGGGAGGATCACTTGAGCCCATGAGGTTGAATCTAAAGTGAGCTGTGTTTGTGCCACTGCACTCTAGCCTGAATGACAGAGTGAGGCCTTCTGTCTCAAAAAAAAAAAAAAAAAAAAAAAAGTACATGAAAGTTACCTTTAAAATGCTTAAAGTGCCTCTGCAATATATCTTCGAAATAGAGTAAGTCTTTTAAAATCAATTGACCTAAAAACCCCCAATCCTATAAAATATGAATCTTATTTTAGATGCAGTTCCACAGGTCCTATTTAAGCAGTGCTTTTTCTCCTTGCCCATGGTTAGAAACCATGTCTGGGCCAAGTGAGATACTCAATAAGGCTGTAAATGGGAAAAAATGGGATAAAGTTTTAGCCATTTCATTATTTACCTTGTTCAGAACAAAGAAAACAGTTAAAAACAACATCTATGTATACAGGAAAGCTTTACTTGCAATGGCTAAGTTGTCTACAATATAGGCATAAAATCATTAAGTATGCTAAAAAATTTAAAGCTCTGAATTATAATAACAATTTATTGTGTACCCTGTATGTGCCATACACAGTATGTCTGTATCTACGTAACCCTAAACATAATGATGCTCATAATACACAGATGCTCAGAGCTTCAATGACTGGCCTGAAGTCACACAGCTGGTGAGTAGTGGAGCTATTTACAACACACCTGGCTCCAAAGTACAAGTTCTTTCCAACATGTAATTTCATCTCATTTATAAATGTGTAAACTACACTGCTCAATAACATAGTTCACATAGAAGCTATCATTCGTATAGGTCTTTAGAAACAGAATAGTGAAAGGACTTAAGCTTTCAAGTTCTCTTCCTTCAGAAACAGAAAAACAAACAAAAAACAGTAAAAAGAAATTTGACCTCAGAGTTAGAAAATTAGCAGTAGCAGCTGATGACCAGCAGGTGTCACAAGCTCAAATGCCTACAGATGACAGGCAGAAAATACGTAGATAGGGCCAAGACATAAGAGAATATGGAACTGGGAGCCAACATACCCAACCTGAAAGGATCTAAAGCCCTGTTAAAATAAAACAAAAAACAAGTCAACAGAACACTGTGCTGCCCAAATAAAACATCTGCAGTCCTTGCTGGTTTGGGCTTCTAGATTAGGGTATACACGGAAGACTGAAATAGAGGGAGAAAAGGAACCCGGGCTGGGTTAGTTGGACATAAAAACTTAACTCTGGACCTTTTCAAAGAGATTCATGAACTGTGTGTTTATTATGGGACAGGGAGAGCATAGAAGGAATCTTAACAGCAGGAATAGGAGAAGTCTATGAGCCTGTGTGTGACTTTATAGACCTGCCTATTACAGGTATAACAGGTAAGTGTTTTAAATATTTTGATTTTGTAGAAATTTTGGGATAATCCCTTAAACTGCGGCCAGAGAGTGACTATCAGTGATGTTACCAGGAGCTAATCAAGTATTGTCAAGCTTTTACTGAATATAGTCACATGCTTTTAAAGGATAGATAGATGAGTCCATTTACTAGCAAGTGATATTCAATTGCACTTTATTTAGAACAACAGCAAATATCCAATGTAAGAGATTGTCTTTAGGCTAGGCATAGTGGCTCATGCCTGTAAATCCCAGCACTTTGTGAGACCGAGGCGAGCGGATTGCCTGAGGTCAGAAGTTCAAGACCAGCCTGGCCAACATGGCGAAACTCCATCTCTACTAAAAATACAAATATTAGCTAGGTGTGGTGGTGGGCACCTGTAATCCCAGCTACTCAGGAGGCTGAGAGGCAGGAGAATCGCTTGAAACCAAGAGGTGGAGGTTGCAGTGAGCCGAGATTGCACCACTGCTCTCCAGCCTGGGTGACGAGAGCGAAACTCCATCTCAAAATAAATAAATGACTGTCTTTAATTCTGTTTTAAATATTAAATAATAATTGAACCCTTCAAAAATTAGTAATAACCTTTTATTTTGGAATTTTCTTCCATATCTTATTTTATTTTAACCCCATTATAAAAAACTTTTCAAAATTAAATTTCTATTGGCAAACTGCTAACAATGGTTTCTCAATAGTTTATGTTTTCATATTCAAAATGAAGAAAAGAAACCAATATGCTAAACTAAGTCCCTTCTGCTATACTGGGCTTCTTTAGTTGTAGATTCAAACTTCCCTTTTATGTCTTAACCACATATATTCACCTAGACCACATATATTTCACTTTTCCCCGCATTCAAGAGCTGAATCGATCCTAAGTCAGAAACTTCGTGAAGCAATACAGTCATTTTCCATACACATGCTGAGGTTTTGAGCAGCTGTTATACGGTCATAATACAAATGCGGTATTTCTTAGTTCATGACCATACTTAAGAGAACTAGAGTCTTACACAGCATTTCTTAAAGAAACCAGCATTCAAGGTCTAAGGACTGGCTGAAGGTAATTAGCTTGAAAACTCACATTATTTCCAAATTTGTACTGTCTTAAAAAGCAAAAACTCTAGCTATAGTAACAGTACCAACTCCTGAGAAAGCAGAATTGTAAAAAAATTCCCAAGAAAAACTAAGCCAACTATTAATATATCCATAGCAAACACAAGAAAAATGAAAGTAAATCAGTAATTCTACCTGTTTTTTTTTTTTTTTTTTTTTTTTTTTTTGAGACAGAGTCTTACTCTGTCACCCAGGCTGGAGTTCAGTGGCACAATCTTGGCTCACTGAATGCCTCCTGGGTTCAAGTGATTCTCCTGTCTCAGCCTCCTGAGTAGATGCCCGGCTATTTTTTATATTTTTTTAGAGATGGGGTTTTACCATGTTGCCCAGGCTGGCCTCCAACTCCTGGACTCAACTGATCCTCCTGCTTCAGCCTCCCAGATTGCTGAGATTACAGGTATAAGCCACCACACCGTTTTTAAATAAAATTAGTGCCTTAAAGCAGGCAGAGACAGACAGATTTGAGGTGGACTTCTGTTTCCTTGTAAGTAGACTTACAATAAAAAATTCTTTTCTCAAAAACCCGGGTCATAGTAACGGCTTCTAGCGCATTGGACAGTGAGCCCCTTTTGCTCCCTAACACTGTAGGAAATAAATTTCTGTTGCTTGTAAGCTACCTAGGTTACTGTATTTTGTTATGCCAGCCTAACAGGACCAAGATACCATACCACATATCCCATTAGATTATAAATGCCTGCCTATTCCCCCAAATGTCCCTTGTGGACAGGGCCTGGGTCTTTGTAACCTTGATATTAACCTAGCACAGTGCCTGGCTGATAGATGTTGAGCATTTCCACTCTAATTAAAAAAAGGAAAAAGTAATAGAAACCTCTTATTTGTATAATGCTTCATAGCTTATTTACTCTCACTGGACCCTCTCCTGACGTTGGTACTGTAAAAATGGACAGAATTCAACTAATAACACTGGCGCATTACTACAGGTGATGCTGTTTATTCCATTTGCAGTAATTTAGGATTAAAATAAAAACTCTCACAGAAACTAGCTTTTGCTTAATAAGCCAACTGAAAACAAGTTGTCCATACAATTACAACTATTATATGTCAATTAAAAAATTCTAATAAAAGGCTGCCCTTTTTATTGTTTCCAAATAATAACTGACGAGGCAAGTCTGTCATTAACACTAGTCTCAAAATCAAGTTAGATTTTTAAAAATCAGGTGAATCATTTAAATACATATTCTAATCATCTACTTACTCTATTAAGCGCTTTGGGGATGAGCCACTTTGATGGAATTCATCGGCATCATAAAATTCATCTTCACTGCTAGAGTAAGAGAACTCTGGGACTGTATTTGGAGACAAGTTCACATGGCTTGGAGAAGTTAGACTGCTACTTGGTGGTGAATGGCCACTGCCTAGGAAGTTAAAAAGGCTTTAATTAGAGAAGAATGTTGATGATAGAGAACAAATTAGGGAGGTGGAGTCAAAGCAGACTTTTCTAAAATTAAGAGTTTGGTTAAGTTTTTAAAAGTCGCTGCACTATTTACAAAGAAAATCCACATTTAAATTCCATACAGAAAATGGCAAATCATGATATAAAATGGGGACACAGCCTTTTAAATGAAACAAAAAGCTATGTCCTCATTCTATAAAGATTATCATTGATATTAGGAAAGGGGCTCTTATGATTATATGAGTCATGGAGTTCCAAGTCCCACAACAGATACCATTACCAATGGGACACCAGGGCTCTTATTTTACACTGCAGATCCAGATACCTAAAAATGCAGCAGTGAGGGCCGGGTGCGGTGGCTCCTGCCTGTAATCCCAGCACTTTGGGAGGACTAGGCGGGCGGATCACGAGGTCAAGAGATCGAGACCATCCTGGCCAACGCAGTGAAACCCCGTCTCTACTAAAAATACAAAAATTAGCTGGGCATGGTGGCGTGCATCTATAGTCCCAGCTACTTGGGAGGCTGAGGCAGGAGAACTGCTTGAACCCGGGAGGTCGGGGTTGCAGTGAGCTGAGATCGCGCCACTGCACTCCAGCCTGGTGCCTGGTGACAGAGCGAGACTCTGTCCCAAAAAAAGAAAAAAAAAGCAGCAGTGATGTCGGACGCGGTGGCTCACCCCTGTAATCCCAGCACTTTGGGAGGCTGAGGTGGGGGGATCATGAGGTCAGGAGATTGAGACCATCCTGGCCAACACAGTGAAATATTGTCTCTACTAAAACACAAAAAGTTAGCCAGGCGTGGTGGTACACACCTGTAATTCTAGCTACTCAGGAGGCTGAAGCAGGGGAATTGTTTGAACCTGGGAGGTTACAGTGAGCCAAGATTGTGCCACTGCACTCCAGTCTGGCGACAGAGCAAAACTCAGTCTCAAAAAAACAAAAACAAAAAACAAAAAAAAAACCATCAGCAGTGAACCACTGGGAATGCAGAGTGGAAAGAATATTAAGACCACATGAACATTAAAATATTGCAGGATATCACATTCCTATCATTCAATGCTTTTTAGCAATCACATGGAAAATGCACAAACCATCCAAATTCCTCTCTTCCATTTAAGTCAGAGGCTCAGAGGTGGAGATAAAAATAGAGGGCTACTTTGAGAAGAATGCAGAAAATGAAAAAATTCAGAAGAACATTTTTCTATTCCTAAGTAGTCTAACTAAAGAAATGGAAATTAATGGAGACCCAGAGAAAGAAGACAGCCATCTAATCTCTGAGATGATCATCTGGTACCTTGTCTAGTAATAAAGCAAGAACAAAAAAATATCAAACCAATCGACAAATGGAGTATTAAAATCAATATAACTTACTGAGCATCTAAGGGCTGTCAGGCAATTTATACTAATCTACAGATGTCTGGTGAAGACTAAAGTTTATTAAGTCACTGATGGCAATCTGAAAGCCAGGGCCACAGTTCTGGAAGAAATTGAAGACAGCAATAAAAATGAATTCAGGCTAGGCACAATAGCTCACGCCTGTAATTCCAGCACTTTGGGAGGACCAGATGGGAGGACTACCTGAGTCCAGAAGTTCACGACCAGCCTGTGCAACAAAGTGAGAGCATGTCTCATAAAATAAAATAAAATAAAATAGCTGGGTGTGGTGGCATGTGCCTGTGGTCCCAGCTCAATGAGAGGTTGAGGCAGGAGGATCACTTCATCTGAGGAGGTCAACAGTGCAGCGAGTTGTGTTTGTGCAACTGCATTCCAGCCTGGGTAACAGGGTGATATTTTGCCTCAAAAAAAGAATCCAGCGTCATTTATGGATTTCTGCCCGTTCCTATACCTATGGTTCAATAGCTATGAAAAAGAACACATCGGTCTGCCACATTTAGTCATCACATTCACAAAAGTATTTTATTTTATTTTTTTGAGACAGAGTCTTGCTCTGTCACCAGGCTGGAGTGCAGTGGCGCAATCTCGGCTCACTGCAACCTCCACCTCACGTGTTCAAGTGATTCCCCTGCCTTAGCCTCCCAAGTAGCTGGGACTACAGGCACGCGCCACCACGCCCAGGTATTTTTTGTATTTTAGTAGAGACAGGGTTTCACCATGTTGGCCAGGATGGTCTCGATCTCCTGACCTCGTGATCCACCTGCCTAGGCCTCTTAAAGTGCTGGGATTATAGGTGTGAGCCCCTGTGCCTGGCCCTTTGTAAAAGGTAACACAAAAAGTTCACCCCCTAAAAGGTCATGCTTATTTTGGAAATTTCAAAGGTAGCTCACCTTCTTAGTAAATAAATTCATATTCTCTTTATTACCCAACAGAAAGAATAAGAGAGAAAAGCAGCTTTTTCTTACTAGAATTTAAAAAAATGACCAGGAACAGCAAATGATTAAGTAGCATGCAAATATTCCAGGTGATCACAAAAATGAAAATGTATCGAAGAAAAAAATAAGTTTGAGTGGGAAGTGCAAACAAAAGATCTGAGATTTACTCAGGAGAGCAAACATTACTTCTTATTCCTTTATTACTTTTTTGTATTAGCAAGAGAAGTAAAGGAAAGAAAAGTAGAGTAAATGAAGTTAGGATGAAAAATCAAGTAAGACATAAATCACAGAAACTTAATTTTAAAAATTTCTTTAAATCTATTTGAAGTGTTAGATTTCTGGAATATCTTCAACTGAAATAGTTTTTAGAAGACAATCTTTACCTTCTGGAAATAATTTTTACTAAAATTAATGTACATAAGAGCTTCTCACTTTTCTTTTCTTTTTCTTTATTTTTTTTTGAGACAGAGGTCTCACTCTGCCACCAGGCTGGAGTGCAGTGGTGTGATCTCGGCTCACTGCGACCTCTGCCTCCCAGGTTCAAGCAATTCTCTTGCCTCAGCCTCCCAAGTAGCTGGGACTACAGGGGTGCACCACCATGCCTAGTTAATTTTTGTATTTTTAGTAGAGACAGTGTTTCATCATGTTGGCCAGGATAGTCTCCATCTCTTGACCTTGTGATCCGCCTGCTTTGGCCTCCTAAAGTACTGGGGTTACAGGCATCAACCACTGAGCCCAGCTGAGCTCCTTACTTTTTCAAAGTCTCTTGCTAGTTTTATGTATTTCAAAACAGAAAAATTTTGGAATTTTGGCTGTTTCAAAATTCTGACATAAAAATATGAATAACAACAAACAGGTACTATTTTTTAAATGAAGAAGTGACACAGCTCAGGAAACACAGAAGTCAGCCAAAATATTTCAATTTCATTATTCAAATTGCTTATCAAATTGCTTATCAGTCTTTTTCAAAGAGCTTCAAGTAACGGAGCTTTTTTTTTTTCTTTCAAAATTCAAAGACACCTGCCCATGCTGTTAAATAGTAAAGACGAAAGTAATAGCATAAGTACCTTTACTAATTCGAATTTTTAAAATCACATGGCCATTATTCATTATTACATAGGAAAAGTCCTACCCAGGAAAAAAAACTCTGAGGATGAACAAAGAGGCTGATCTCTGATCTCCCACCTCTTCAAAAGTGATTCTGGTTTCCAGTTTGAACAGTGTGAAAAATGCTAGGTGCTTCCTTGAGTTTGGGTCTACAAGTTATCCAACATAAATTTAATTAATTTTAAAACAATAAATCTAGTATCTAGCACTGATAGCCCTCCTGTAAAACAGAAAAATAAATAAATAAAGACCATAAGTCTAAACAAATTAAGAAAATGCAAGCCAGGCACAGTGGCTCACGCCTGAAATACCAGCACTGTGGGAGGTCGGGGCAGGCAAATCACTTGAGGTCAGGAGTTTGAGACCAGCCTGGCAAACATGGTGAAACACTGTCTCTACTAAAAATACAAAAATTATAGGGGTGTGATTGCAGTGAGCTGAGATGGTGCCACTGTACTCTAGCCTGGGTGACAGAGTGAGACTCCATCTCAAAAACAAAAAACAACACAATGAAGTATCTTTTTTCTGACTATAAAATTGGCAAAAGGTGAAGATCGATAAATGTTTTCTAAAAAATTACACATATGCCAAAGGTGCTGTACAAAGATATCACCGAAGTATTGCTTATAACGGAAGGACACTGGAAACAACTTAAATGTCCTTCAGTAGAAAAAAGAAGCAATATCTGCCCAGGCAGCTGTAAAAAGAATGCTGTAGACCTAATTTTACAAACATGGAAAGTTCTCTAAGTGTTCTTTGCTAAAGGAAAAGTGAAAGTCACAGAAACACATGACCTAACTTAGGTTTAAACAAAAACAATAAAAATACACAACATAAGTGTATATGTACATACATGTATGCAAATTATACGGGGTGAGTAAAGAGGACTTTCCGTTTTTATTCTGTGTATTTCTGTTTCAGCTTCACAAATAAGACAGTATGCAAGTCTAGCTGGAGTAAATTTTTCAAAGTCAACATAGATTACCCAAATATATCTTAAGGTAGAAAAAAAAAAAAAAAAAAAAAAAAACCAACAACTCTGCAACATTTTATTTTATTTAAATTATAATTATTCCAGGCATGATGCCTCATGCCTGTATAATCCCAGCACACTGGGAGGCTGAAGCAGGAAGACTACGTGAGCCCAAGAGTTTGAGACCAGCCTGGGCAACATGGGGAGACTCCTCTCGACAAATATTAAATTAGCCAAATGTGGTGGTATGTGCCTGTGGTCCCTGCTACTTGAGAGGCTGAGGCCTGGGAGGTCAAGACTTCAATGAGCCCTGATTGTACTGCTGCACTCCAGCCTGGGTGACAGAGTGAAACCCTGTCTCAAAAATAAAAATTAAAAAAATTTAAAAAAAAAAAATAAATAAATAATAATTACTTACGAAAGCTTCTCTTTCAATTGCAAGGCTAACCACTTCATGTATGGAACTGTAATGGTAAAACTAAGATATCTCCAACAGAAATATACAACACATTTATTCAAATTTCCCCCCTCCCTCATCACAGGTCACATACAAATATTAAATGTTAATGAAGAGTTATGAGAAATAAAGAAATTCTGCAAATCTGTACCTGTACTATTTGGTGTAGGAGTCTGATGATGTCCCAAGGTAGCCAACACAGGTCCAACTGGTAGGGAAGATGGACGTTGCTCTGACTTACACAACTGAACAGGTTCTAGGAAATTTGAACATGTAAAATAAAGTACAGAAACAGCCAAACACACATTCTGTTGCCTGTAATTGTTTGGGATTCAAAATCCTGAAGAACAGTAATTTCTGAAACTCTTATTTCATTAAGTCTAGTTCCATGCTACTCCTTCCTTCTGACTTCCTAGCCTCTTAAACTCGATGATAGGCTAACAGGTACTAAGATACAAGGCAGGGTATCAAAAGACCAGCCATAGTAGGCCAATACTGCAGTATAACTACTCTGTAAAACCAACAAATGCTTCTGATGTGTTTGAGCCTCAAACTACATAAAATCTGAAGTGGCATACAGTACGTCCTCCTCTTTAGCCCCGAGAGGAAGTTAAGCTAATTCACTTAAAGAGTAAAAATTCACAAAAGGATTTCACATACTTACTAATATATTTAAAAATTTTTTTCCCTTTTATAGTATATTTTCTGACTTCACTATGCCATCGAGAACACAGAAATGTCAGATACAACAAAAGGGCAAAAGGAATTAGTGTAGCTAGGTATTTGCCCTGAGCCCTTCTTTGCTAGTTTTTAAAAATAGCATTTATTGCTCTATTCTTAAAAAAAAAATACAGATGTCATCTGATCAGTAGGCATCATATATTTCCTTCTTCCCTTTCTCATTATCCTTAAAATCTACCATGAACATGCCATTTGTATTGTTCAGAGCTACAAAGAATACCCCAAAACAGAACATCCCTGGATTACCCTAATTAAGGTATAGTAAATTTTCCTTGCTAGCCATGAGTTCTGAGTCACAGGATTCTGTCCTACCAGTGAATCCAAATCTTAGTAACCATGTTTGTTTTCTATCTCACTTTGAATACCAAAATCACTTTCATCACACTTCATTAAAGCCCAATATCAAAACACCATCATCTTTTTCCAGTTCACTTTTAGCTGTATTTTTTGAGTCCTTTTTTTAAAATTAAAAACAAGGAGAAACAAACAGTAAGAGCTAAGACTGCTATGACAGTCAAACAAATTAAGTTTTTTTTCATCAATGAATCTGTTAAACATTTTCCCAAATTACCTGGAGGTAATACAGTCTGGGAAGGCATTGTGCTGATCACAGGTTCCAAAGGACTGGGTTGATATATTGCATCTACAGGATTAATAGTACTCTAAGATAAAGAAACACAGTATAGTTATTTTTAATTAAATGCTCTTCTCATGCTACCCTCCCAAACGAACGAAATGACCACATTTATGACTGCAAAATCCTGAGGGTAGCTATATAGATATGTTGATCAAAATGAAAAGAGGAAATGAAACACCTTTTCTATACAGAAGTGTAAGAGTTTCTTCTAACAAAGCACAGTAAAGAAAGAAAACGAATGAATCTCTGTTACAGAAGAAGGTAAAGCTAAGTGGAAAAACCAAGGAGTTATAAAATGGTATGGGGAAGGTATCAGAAAGTCAAAACTACCTCTCAATTCAATTTAGTGCTTCTCAAATTCTTAATTCACCACAAATCTTGTTTTTCTCTTTCACTTGCTTTGGTGTGTTACACCAAATGTCCAGCTAATATATCTGCACCACTAGGATCTCATCTTTCTATCCCATACTGCTGCTATTCCTTGGGTATCCAAGGGGGATTTGTTCCAAGTCCCCCTGAGGATACCAAAATCCACAGATGCTCAAGTCCCTGATATAATGTGGCATAGTATTTGCATACAACCTACACATATCTTCCCTTTAAGTTATATCATCAGACACCTAATATTATGTAAATATTATATAGATCATTTACTGTATTGTTTAGGAAATAATGACAAGGAAAAAAGTATATACATATTTAGTAAAGAGGCATTTTTTTTCCCTCAAATATTTTTAATCCACGGTTGGTTCAATCCACAGATGCAGAAGGCTGACTGTGTGTCTAGTTTTATGGTCACTGAAGAGAAAGAAGATGTATCTTCTAACTGGGGAGTGTGGAGGAGAAGGCTTGATTTCCGAGGATTTAGAGGAGAGAAAAAAAATTCAGACATGTAGTTTTAAAGGGGAGAAAAGTCTAGGATTCCCTGATTGTAAGTCGAAATTATTCTGACAGCATGAAGACATTTTAAAAAGAAAACTCCATAACTTACTGATTGGGCGGCGGGGGGGAATGTAGATGTTAAACCAAGGTCTTTGCCAAAGCAAAGTTTACATTCACCATTTAGAAGACTAAAATCCAAGAAATAAAAACCTAAGTTATTTACCTTTCTTTGATCTGGAAAACTCAACTTGACATATATATTAAGTAGTGCTTATAACAGAAGATACTAAAAGAGAAATGTAAAAGAAATATTTTGCCAATGAATAAGCCCAAAAAAGGAGTTGTAGAAACTTAAAATCATCTGGCTGGGCGTGGTGGCTCACACCTGTAAAACCTGGCACTTTGGGAGGCTGAGGTAGGTAGATCACGAAGTCTAGGGATTGAGACCATCCTGGCCAACATGGTGAAACCCCATCTCTTCTAAAAATACAAAAATCAGCTGGGCATGGTGGCGCACGCCTGTAGTCCCAGCTACTCGGGAGACTGAGGCAGGAGAATTGCTTGAACCAAGGTGCCAGAGGTTGCAGTGAGCCAAGATCATGACATTGCACTCCAGCATGGACGACAGAATGAGACTCCATCTCAAACAAACAAAAAAACACAAAAAAAGATCCTTAAAATCATCTAATAATAGAAACAGATAATGGTAAAGTTTTTGTAGCATTCTCATGTAATGTCTAAGTTAAAAAACATTTTTTTTCCCTGGCCACGTGAAAAACAAACAAACAAACCTGGTGTTCAGGACTGTAAAAGAAAAAAATTTTAAACCAAAAAAAAAAAAAAAAAAAAAAAAAAACCCTGTCCTCTTTCTGCATGATTATTTAAAACTCATTAAATAAGATCTCTTCAGTCAAGTGATTGAACAAAAGAATTCTGATTCTTGTCACTACAACAGTCTATCTGCCATAAATACATTAACTGAAAAATGAAGAACACGTAGAGAAGACATCCCCAAAACAATTGGTAATAATTTTAAAAAACCCAAAAAGTGAAGAAACTGAACTGGGGAATATTTTGAAGCATTGAGAAAAGCAAAGAAACAGAGACTTGGAGTTTTTAGTTCCTTAGAAACCTTAAGTCTCTTATTCTCTATGGGTCTGTTTCCCAGTCTGCAAAATAGTCTGTGTTTATACGAGTGCTAAGAACTTTCTGGTTATTACTTTGATTCTATTTTTAGATACTGGACCAAGCCAAAATAACTAAACAGTATCTCAACAAACCTGGAGCTGTTTCTAAAATAAATTCCTTGTTCACACAGTGCTTTCCTCAAAACAAACAAACCAAAATCCCACCATTAACACACTTTGATATATAGGAGTGAATATGTCATCTCCTTACCCCTCCCACTGAAGAGAATAAGAAATAAAATAACTTCGGAATAGGGATAAGAATTCTCTTTTGGATGCAATCTTTTGTTTTCCAGATGAAATGTTCTTACAATTAGGCTTGTCAACCAAAGAAAACACTTAAAACTTTTTGGCATTGCTAATCAAAAATTATGGGAGGCCACTGTTTTGGATTGAGCTGTTGCACTAGGGCCCAAAAGACTAGATCAAACCAAAAAGGAGTCACTCTTGCTAAATGCCACATAATTAAACTAAGAAAGCAAGTGGATCTCAAAAAAGACTTTTTTTTTTTTTTTTTCCTCTGAAAATAGGAGATTCCCGTCTGAGTCAGTGTAATATGGAAGTGCCCGCTGTTTTAACCCTTAAAAGAAAAGTAATCTGATGTTAGCCAATCAGCATTTTTTCCTGTTACAATTCCCACCTTACAAAACCCACTGCTCTGCCATTGCCCAGTGGGACCTTTCATTCTATTTTGTAGAATGGAGGCTGACCCAATTTATGCATCTTGCATAAAAGCCAATTAGATCTATGATTATATTTGTTGTAATTTTGTCTTTTGACAGCATGTATATTAAAAGTATTCAATTTTTTTGTTATTGTTGTTTATGATAGAAAAAATCACTATGCTATACTTATCCACAGTTCTTAGTCAACTTCAGGTTAAAATATGTCACATTACATTCTACAATTTGCTTTAAAAATAAATGTGCAGAGCTTGAGAGGCAAAAATACTACTACTCAGCCCTAATCTGTTATGACATTAATGAAACCTGTGTAATGCAATGTACTGTACATACACATACAAATACATGTATGTATTGCTAACTGTGCTTGTTCTGTACCTTACAACTACCTTCTAAGGTCAGCTTTCTTTACAGGAAAATAAATTAAGATTCAGAAAGGTTGAGTAATTTGCCCAAGGTCACAGGTAGTGAGTGGCAGGGCTATTTTATTTGAACCCCAGCAGCCTGCCTCTAAGGTCTATACCATGAACAGTTCCTCTATTTTTTCAAAATAAAAACTCTTAAGGAAAATATGCTCTAGTCCCTGAGCAAATGATTCAAAGATATTTTTCTGTTACATTTTCTATGAGCACAAACTTTCTAGATTTTTTCACTGCAAACGATCAAGTGTTTTTGGTATGTTTTATAAAATCCTGCCTGGTTTTGGAGTCTGTAGGGACCATAAAATGGTAGACAATACATACAGTCCTTTCCTATGAGGCTCACAATTTTTGATAGTATCTCAGGAAGAAATATTATTTTAGTTTGTATTACATTTATATCATACAATTGTATTGTATCACCATGGCTCACACTTTGAACTGACAAAAATTCCGATGTATTTAATTCAAATTCCAAACATGTTTATTTCTGCTTTCTTAATATGCAAACACAGATATGTAATTAAAAAAATTTTAAGACCAAATATAAAGATAACATGCTCATCCTTTCAAGTACAATCATGAGATGTTTTTGAAGATTTACAAAATGTTTTTCCAGATCTCAGACAAGCTGGCATTTGTAAAGTCTAGGACAAAAAAAGAGGCTGCCTCCTGCTTCAGGAATACAGACTGAATAGAGGTCACTCAGTTACCATAAACTAGGGTAAGCACAAACTACAAACCTTCAAACTCTTTTTATTTCCAGCTGGGCAATCCTAATAATACAATTTTCTTCTTTCTTTTTAGAGGGGAAGTTGAATATAAGGGAAAGGTAAAAAGACAAGAGAGAGGAAAGAATAAGATAATGGCTATAAGAGAAAGAATTCACACTGTAAATTGTTCCAACAAAAATGCAGTACATACCACATTAACAATGATAGTTACACACACAAAACTTAACATAAACGATAAAATAATAATAACCTATAAACATATTTAAATAGATTAAGGTGTGTTTCAATATTGTACTCTCTCCCACCCTGCTTTCATCTGAGAAAAAAAGAAGTTAGACAAGAAATGTGGCACTGAGTTATGCATTATTTAATTGTAAAAGCTGAGTACTCATACCATGATTAACCCTTCAAGTTAATACATGCAAAGTGATTCAATCTGAAGCCACACTTAGAAAAATTTTAAGATTGTCATTTCCCCTGCAAATGAGTGCTGAAAGATGGGAGCTCAAAGGAAATTGCAAGAGTCAACAACAAAAAGCAGTGAGTAGTTGGCATTGAAAAATGAGTAGTAATTCAGGCTTCTCCTGATATGACTGGTTATAATGCTCTGCAGAAGTAAAGGGAAACAGAAAGATTAGATTAAACTTACTATCATTCCATCTGCGTGTTTCTCCGCATTACTCTGGTCCTTAAGGAAAAATGTTAAAAATATTAACTTCATTCTTACATTTAAGTAACTGCTTGTGTATTTCTACTATAAGAAAGCTTATTTTACCAGGTAAGTAATAATGTTAGAACATGATTTCTCTGCTTCCACTAAGATTTTAATTCCATGTGTACATTCTTAGCAAAACACAATTCAAGCACTGGCTACACAACAATCAACACCAACAGCATGGCAATTATTTTTCTATACAGGGATTTTACTAAATTCACTGTGGAAATATCCTGTAGAACTGTAGTCATGTTCAAAATTCTAGGCAAAAGTGATCTCTACATGGATGAACCTTGGAAAACATGATGTTAAGTGAAAGAAACTAGTCACAGAAGACCACATATTGTAAGATTCACCTTACATGAAGAGTCAAGAATAGACAAATCTGGAGGCAGAAAGTGGATTAATTGTTGTCAAGGGCTAGATGGAGTGGGGGTAGGAGGCTGCTGGAGGGTTAAGGGATGCACTGATGCTCCTCAACTTATGAAGGAGTTTACCTCCCAATAAATTTATCTTAAGTTGAAAATATTGTAAGCCAAAGATACATTTAATTCACCTAACCTACCAAACAGCATAGCTTATCCTAACCTACCTTAAATGTGTTACAGAACACTTACATTAGCCTACAGTTGGGCAACAGAGTACAGTGCAGAGTTTCAATTGGTTACCCTTGTGATCGCATGGCTGACTGGGAGCTGTGGTTCACTGCCACTGCCCAGTATAGTGAGGGAATATCATATGGCATTATCAGTAGCTAGGGAAAAAAAACAAAGCTCAAAATTCAAAGTACCGTTTCTACTAAATGCATATCGCTTTTTTGCCATCATGAAGTCAAAGAATCCTAAGTCAAACCATTGTTAAGTCAGGGACCATCTACATAGGAAATGATTGCTTAATAGGTAGGGGGTTTCTTTCTGGGGTGATAAAGTAATTCTAAAATTAGATTATGATGATGGCTGTAAAAAATTTTGTAAATATTATAAAAACCATTGAAGTGTGCACTTTAAGATGGTAAGCTCATTTTTAAAGCTGTTTATTTTTAAAAAGCTGATGAGAAATTAACAAATACTAATGAAAACAAAGTCTATGCAGAAAAAAGTTTTGGGGAAATATCTTAAGTTGAAAATATTAAGTCAAAGGTGTATTTAATTCATTTAACCTGGGATCTAAGGACATCTGAAAGATATAATCTACTTTAAAAGTATCTGTAGTCAAAATAGGAAGACGTTGAATCCCTGAATAGACCAATAACGAGGTCTGAAATTAAGGCAGCAATTAATAGACTACCAACCAAAAAACAGTCCAGGACCAGACAGGTTCACAGCCGAATTCTACCACAGGTACAAAGAGGAGCAGGTATCATTCCATCTGAAACTATTCCAAACAATAGAAAAACAGGGAATCCTCCCTAACTCATTTTATGAGGCCAACATCATCCTGATACCAAAACCTGGCAGAGACACAACTAAAAAAGAAAATTTCAGGTCAATATCCCTGATGAACATTGATGTGAAAATACTCAATAAAATACTGGCAAACCAAATCCAACAGCACATCAAAAAGCTTATCCATCATGATCAAGTTGGCTTCATTGGGGGATGGGAGGTTGGTTCAACATATGCAAATCAATAAACATAATCCATCACATAAACAGAGCCAAAGACAAAAACCACGATTATCTCGATAGATGCAGAGAAAGCCTTCAACAAAACTCAATAGCACTTTATGCTTAAAACTCTCAATAAACTAGGTATTGATGGAATGTATCTCAAAATAATAAGAGCTATTTATGACAAACCCACAGCCGATATCAGACTGAATGGGCAAAAACTGGAAGCATTCTTTTTGAAAACCAGCACAAGACAAGGATGCCCTCTCTCACCACTCCTATTCAACATAGTATTGGAAGTCCTGGCCAGGGCAATCAGGCAAGAAAAAGAAATAAAGCATCTTCAACTAGGAAAAACGGAAGTCAAACTGTCTCTATTTGCAGATGACATGATTGTATATTTAGAAGACCCCATCGTCTCAGCCCAAAATCTCCTTAAAATGATAAGCAACCTCAGGAAAGTCTCAGGATACAAAATCAATGTGCAAAAATCACAAGCATTCCCATATACCAATAACAGACAAACAAAACCAAATCATGAGTGAACTCCCATTGACAATTACTACAAAGAGAATAAAGTACCTAGGAATACAACTAACAAGGGATGCAAAGGACCTCTTCGAGGAGAACTACAAACCACTGCTCAGAGAAATAAGGACACAAACAAATAGAAAAACATTCCATGCTCATGGCTAGGAAGAATCAATATCCTGAAAATGGCCATACTGCCCAAAAGTAATTTATAGATTCAATGCCATCCCTATCAAGCTACCATTGACTTTCCTCACAGAATTGGAAAAAAAAAACAAAAAACAAAAAAAAAAACCCACACCTTAAATTTCATATGGATCCAAAAAACAGTCCATATAGCCAAGACAATCCTAAGCAAAAAACAAACAAACAAAAAACAAAACAAAACAAAAAAACAAAGTTGGAGGCATCACACTACCTGACTTCAAACTATATTACAAGGCTACAGTAATCAAAATAGCATAGTACTGGTACCAAAACAGACATATAGATCAATGGAACAGAACAGAGGCCTCAGAAATAACACCACACATCTACAACCATCTGATCTTTGACAAACTTGACAAAAGCAAGCAATGGAGAAAGGATTCCCTATTTAATAAATGGTGTTGGGCAAACTGGCTAGTCAAATGCAGAAAGCTGAAACTGGATCCCTTCCTTACACCTTATACAAAATTAACTCAAGATGGATTATAGATTTAAACATAAGACCTAAAACCACAAAAACCTTAGAAGAAAACTAGGCAATACCATTCCGGACATAGACATGGGCAAAGACTTCATGACTAAAACACCAAAAGCACAGTAACAAAAGCCAAAATAGACAAATGGGATGTAATTAAACTAAAGAGCTTCTGCACAGCAAAAGAAACTATCATTAGAGTGAAAGGCAACCTACAGAATGCGAGAAAATTTTTGCAATTTACCCATCTGACAAAGGGCTAATATCCAGAATCTACAAAAAACTTAAACAAATGTTCATAAAACAAACAACTCCATCAAAAAGTGGGTGGAGGTATGAACAAACACTTCTCAAAAGGAGACTTTATGCAGCCAACAAACATTAAAAAAAGCTAATCATCACTGGTCATTAGAGAAATGCAAATCAAAACACAATGAGATACCATCTCATGCCAGTTAGAATGGCAATCATTAAAAAGTCAGGAGACAACAGATGCTGGAGAGGATGTGGAGAAATAGGAACACTTTTATACTGTTGGTGGGAGTGCAAATTAGTTCAACCACTGTGGAAGACAGTGTGGGGATTCCTCAAGGATACAGAACTAGAAATACCATTTGACCCAGCAATCCCATTATTCGGTATATACCTAAAGGATTATAAATCATTCTATTATAAAGACACATGCACACATATGTTTATTGCAGGACTGTTCAAAATAGCAAAGACTTGGAACCAACCCAAATCAATGATAGACTTGGATAAAGAAACTGTGGCACATATACACCACGGAATACTCCGCAGCCATAAAATATGGTAAGTTCACGTCCTTTGCAGGGACATGGACAAAGCTACAAACTATCATTCTCAGCAAACTAACACAGGAACACAAGACCAAACACCACATGTCCTCACTCATAAGCGGTAGTTGAACAATAAGAACACATGGACACAGGGAGGTGGAACATCACACACCAGAGCCTGTTGGGGTGTGGGGGGCTAGGGGAGGGATAGCAGGGGGTGGGGGCATTGGGATGGGATAGCATTAGAAGAAATACCTAATGTAGATGATGGGGTCATGGATGCAGCAAACCACAGGACACGTGTGTAACTATGTAACAAACCTGCACATTCTGCACATGTAACCCAGAACTTAAAGTACAATAATAATAATAAAAGTATCTATAGTCAGACAACTCAGTCCTACAAGGATAATCTAGTCTGTGAGATTCAGTTTGGTAGCAATAGTAACACATGGTTATTGAATGTTTGAAATATGGCTAGCTCAAAGTATAAAATACATTCATGACTTTGAAGACTTGGTGCAAAAAGAAAAAGACTCATGTCTGTAATGCCAGCATTTTGGAAGGCCAACGAGGGAAAATCGCTTGAAGCTAGGAGTTTTGAGACCAGTCTGGGCAACAAAACAAGACCTTGCCTCTAAAAAAAGATTTAAAAATTAGTGAGGCACAGTGGCGAGTACCTGTAGTCCCCGCTACCCAGGAGGCTGAGGTAGGAGGATTGCTTGAACCCAGGAGTCTGAGGTTGCAGTGAGTTATTTATGGTTGTGACACTGCACTCCAGCCTGGGTGACAGAGCAAGACACTATCTCTTTAAAAAAAAAAAAAAATAGAAGAGAGAGGGAGAATATAAACTATTTCATTAATAGATTTTTACACTGATTACATGTTGAAATGATATTTTTGGTATAGTGGGTTAATAAAATTCATTAAAATTAATCTCACTTGTTTCTTTTCACCTTTTAAAATGTGGTTATAAGAAAATTTTAAATCACATTTATATCTCTCATATTTTTATTGCATAGCACTGGTCTAAACTTAGGATATTCAATAGGAACTGACAAAATTAAAGCCTCAAGTTCTAAGTAATCAACAGTATTTATCTGTACCTATTTTATGCAAGACTATAAAAACTACATAAATCAAATTGATCTGTCTCTAACTTGAAAAATGTTAATAGTCTCTATCTTTGCCTGTAAGAATAACCATTTGAAGTACCTGATTTTAATTACATTAAAATATTGTTTTACTGCATGATTTAACTGTTTGGTAAAAATCAACCAGAGTTTAAGTTTGTACCAACTATACTTCACAACCAAAACATGTCTAGCATATCTTATCTCTCAATTTCAGTGATAATTAAACAAAGCAAAAATAGTGCTCTGGTAAACCACATTCAATCCTCTGCACATGCCAATCTGACAGGCACTCTGAGTTGTGGTAGGTGGTCACATCACCTGACTCTAATACTGGTCAAGTCCCCACCTGCAGGAGCCTCCCAGCTTATCTTCGCTCTGTCCTGCCCTACTCCCCTTTTCTCCCCTTACCTCCCAGCTCCACTGCAGTTTCCCACGAGTAGAACATTAGCTGTCTCCACCAAGGGTAAGAGAAAGGATGTCTTCTGAGATAACAAAGCCCACTTGAAAATTCCATTAACCAGATGGTCTCAAAACTTTGCTGCACATTAAAACCACCCAGAGGTTTAAAATAACCCCAATACCCAGGTGATACTCCATACCACAATAGCATTATAACAGAATGTCTATGGGTGGGAGCCAGGAATCAGAACTGATCTCCAAATGACTCCAATGTGCAGTAAAGTTTGGGAACCAATACACTGATCATTTAGGCAGGAGAGAATCTACTGGGAGTGGGAATTCAAATGAAAGAATCAAAACTGGAGGGAGCTTAACATTAAAATTTTTACTTAAGCATGCTGCCTCTAAAAAGCTGATACTAATCAGCCCCAAACAAGAAAGGTATCAAATTAGCTGTCTTCTCATATCATTTTGGGGTTTCAAATGGTATTATCTCCCTTAAAGTAGTTGATTCCGATATTTTATTAACCTGTCAGTGAGTAACAGTCTTCCAAAGTGGCCATAACAATTTATATTTCTATTAGTACTCGATGGAAATTCTCCAATTTTTACCAGATGTTTTACTGTCACTTTAAAATTTGCAACCTTCTATTTTTTTAATTTAATAAACACTTATTTAGAGCTTCTTACATGCCAGCTACCAACAGCATCACAAATAATACTTCATTTGGTCTCACAGCATCAGTAAGAGACAGACACTATTATTATCCCTCTTGTATATGGAATATAAACCAAAGCATAGAGAGGATAAATAAAATTGCTCCAGTGTTGGGGCTTGGATTCAAACTCAGTATGGGTCCAAAATCCATGCTCTTCAAGATTATGCAAAGTTGACTGTCATTATTATTTTAAAATGTTTTATCTTAATCACAGATTAACTGATTAAATCTACCTAAAGTTTAGTTTATAGGGATGGTCATCGCAGCACATCAGAGAGGTGGCTAAGTAAAAAAAAAAAAAAATCATACACATAGTGAAAATACTAAACCATGCAACCATTAAAAGTAATACATTAGAAAAATCATTCAGTAATTCAGTTATTTATCATGCACCTCCTATATGGCAAGCAACTGTAAGCACTGAAGATACAATGGGGTTATGGACTGAATATTTGTTTCCCTCCCCAAATTCCTATGTTGAAGCCCTAACCCCAAAGGTGGCTGTATTTGGAGATGAGACCCCTGTTACAGAAGTAACTAGGGTTAAATGGGGTCATAAAGGTGGGGCCCTGATTCAATAGGATTAGTGCCTTCATAAGAAGAGACACCAAACAGCTTGCTCTCTCACATGTACAGGCTCCCTCTCTCAGTGCATACTCACCAAAGAAAGACTATGTGAAGACATGGCTGTCTACAGGCCAAGAGGAGAGCCCTCATCAGAAACTGAACAGGACAGAAAGTGGATCTTGGACTTCTGGCCTTCAGAGTGGTAAGAAAATAAATTTCTGTTTTTTTTTAAAATTTTATGTTATTATTTTTTGAGACGGAGTCTCGCTCTGTAAACCAGGCTGGAGTGCAGTGGCACAATGTTGGCTCACTGCAACCTCCACCTCTCAGGTTTAAGCGATTCTCCTTCCTCAGCCTCCTGAGTAGCTAGGACTCCAGATGCGTGTACCACGCCCGGCTAATTTTTTGTAACTTTAGTAGAGACAGAATTTTACCGTGTTAGCCAGGATACTCTTGATCTCCTGACCTTGTGATCCTCCTGCCTAGGCCTCCCAAAGTACTGGCATTACAGGCATGAGCTACTGCACCTGCCAAATTTCTGTTCTTTAAGCCACCCAATCTTTGTTATGGCAGCCTACAAAGATTAATACAAGTGGTAAGACAAGCAAAGTCCTCACCAAGATTGCACTCCAGGGTAGACAGCAAATAAAGAGGTAAATAAACAAATATATCATGTAAACTTGACCAGTGATACAAGGCCATGAAGAGAAAGAAACTGGTGGGAAGTAGAAATTATTTTAGATACAAGAGTCAGGAAAAGTCTTTCCAAAGATGTTCCTTGTGGTAGAAATCTGAGTAAGTAAGAGAGTGAGCCTGGTGGAAATCTGTGGGAAATGCCCTCCAGGTGGAGACAAAAGCAAGTAAAAAATCCCTAAAGCAGGAAAAAAAAAAAAAAAAAGCTTGTCTTGCCTGAGAAAAAGAAAAGAGCCAATGTTATTGGAATGGTGTGATCAAGCAAGGGTACGAGATAAGGGGGCAGTGAACATAAGTAGTTTCTATTTGATTCCAAATGAGATGGAAAACATCAGGGGTATCTGGGCAGGTAAGTGACATGATGTGATTGACATTTAAATTAAGTTTAAAGATACAAACAGAGTCCATACATGGTACAAATATAATTGAGAGTTGTATTTGTACCTAAGAAGCCTTAACAACAATAAAACTTCCTTCTGGAATAAATAAAAGGCCAAATTTAATTTACTTGATCCAAGTTACCCATTGTGAAGAACCTCAAAATGTAGTTTTATTAAGCTGGGCTAAGACAGACAAGTACCAAGTACAAATTAGCTTGTAGAAAGTTCTAGAAAAGAGTTTTATTAATTTGAACTCTAACACATTTCAAAGACAGAGAACACTAAAAATGCTTTTGATGAGTGGCTAACCGTGAGCTAGTGAAATAGGCTAGGCTGACCTAGATAGTACAACTATCTAAAGTCCTGAATGATCTTCAGGGATTACTCAAACTGGCCTAAACACTGTATCAGCTCCTCTGTTTCCTCAGTCTTCAAGAGAAGGCAGTATGAATTCCCTAAAATACCTTGTCACTCAAACGAGGCATGGTGTAGTTTACTGGTTATAAGTAAGCTTTTGGATAAGGGTAGGTGCTTCTACTCACCTATATAATTCCAGAGCCAAGAAAAACTAAAATAAAACCTGATCCCTTTTATGCCTCCAATCCTAACTTCCCTTCTGTTTAGCTTTAGAATATACTATGATCTACAACAGGAAATGAAAAATTTAGACACATACAAAGGAAATCTAGATATCACTAACATCTAGCCCTAAGTTCTGACACTTTAAGTGTAATATATTGGGGTGGGTTTGGTAGCTTATTCCTGTAATCCCAGCACTTTGGGAAGCCAGGAGTTCAGACCAGCCTGGGCAACATGGTGAAACCCATCTCCACTAAAAATATAAGAATAAGCCAGGCGTGGTGGTGCATGCCTGTAACCCCAGCTACTCAGGAGGCTGAGGCACGAGAATCAGTTGATCCCAGGAGACAGAAGTTGCAGTGAGCCAAGATTGTGCCACTGCACTCCAGCCTGGGCAACAGAGCGAGATTCTGTCTCAAAAAAAATAAAAGTATATTTTAAATCTGGCCTGAAAAGAAAATGGCATTGCCCTATTTAATGTATAAGCTAAACATCCTTACTATCCAAACATAAATGGATTGTCCTATACTACTGTGCCATTAACAATAAAAAAAAATAGTCATTAACAAGTCTCTATGAATTGGTAAACATATGCAACAGAAGAAGTAAAGGAGATGTGTAATTATAAACTTATTTAAACAACATTTCTCAAATTGGCTGCTGAGCTGGTCACTCACCCCTTGCTAGCCACTTGCTAGAAATAAAGGGGCATAGTGAGGGAGAAAGATTAAAAAATAATTCCTATTCTCAAACAATAATATTCTTATTTCTGAAAATCTCAGGCAATAAAATATAATATTTAGGTTGAATACACCAAAATTTTTCAGAAAAGGAGACAACATATATGAAATTTTTAACCCACAATAATTCAAAATGTATTTTGTTTCATGAATAAAGAAAAGCAATTAAAATTCACTAATGTAGTTCACTACCAGAAACAAATCTATAATAATTTTTAAAAATGTATCTCTTATAAACTCTTCATTTCGGACAATAACTGCCAGAACTTACTTCTCTATTTTCTAAGAAAAACTTTTTTTTTTTGTGGAAGGTTTAGTATAAAATATGTCCGTGTCCCAAACAGTGATAATGGATAAAATGGAAGGAAAGGGTGAGTCATTCAAACATGCTCCCCTCCTTCCCGGTTCCCAGAAATGACATTACCAGAAACAGTAGCTAAGATAACATCCAAACAATAGTTGTTCCACAGTATAAGCTCACAATACAGTTTACTGTAGAAAGGTACTATGTTTCAGGTCTGAGTTTTTTGGCTATTAAAGAAAAACACCATTATAATTTTTAAATTCCATGCATAAAGGTAAACTGAAAGTAAAATTTACTTACTTTAGCAATCTGCAGCAACACAATGCAGTGTTTAATTGATTCTACCATGCTCTATAAAAACAAAACACTGATTTTTAGGATCTTGGCCCAAATAAAATGGATGTATAATGTTAAAGCTTAAAATACAAGAATCAGTTCAAATGTGTAGGGTTTAAGTCCATACTACACAAGAAATATCCTCTTTGGATCTAGTGGGACCTAATATGCTGAAAATGTCAAATGAAGTTATTCATTAGCAGTTCTATTAATTTTAAGGAATGCCACAAATTGTTAATTTATACTAAATAATATATTTTTAAATTTTTTAAAATTAAAAAAAAATTTTAATGAGACAAGGTCTCACTATTGCAGTGGCTATTCACAGGCATGATTATAGCGCACTACAGCCTCAAACTCATGGGCTCAAGCCATCCCACTCCTTCAGCCTCCTGAGTAGCTGGCACTATGTGCACTTGCGACCATGCCTGGCTCTAAATGATTTTTCAACACTTCAAACAGAAAGACATACAAATCTGATTAAGTTTCTAGTTCTTACATCAACAGCAGTAACCCTAAGAAATCTACTTTATGCTTGCGAAAATGCTGAAAAGAAAAAAAGAAAAAAAAAGAAATCTACTTAAGATGTTGATGGGCTAGGTACGGTGGTACACACCTGTAATTCCACCGCTTTGGTAGGCCAAGGCAGGAGGATTGCTTGAGGCTAGGAGACCAGCCTGGGAAACATAGCAAAATTCCATTTCTACAAATAATTTAAATAAAAATTAGCCATGCATGGTAGCAGTTGCCTGTAGTTGCAGCTACTCAAATAGCTGAAGCAGGAGGACTGTATAAGCCCATGAGGAGTTTGAGTCTGCAGTGAGCTATGACTACACCATTATACTCGACTGCACCATTATACTCCAGCCTGGAAGACACAGCAAGACCCTGTTTCTTAAAACAAATAAAAAGACTTTGATGGAAGTATGGAGAATAAAGGATCCTGTCACAACACTGGTGAACCAAATTATTATTTTGCCTGTTTAAAATTTTGATCAAAGGACACATCTCATTAGTAGTGCATTATATAATGTCAGAAGTCCACTATATCAGAAAACTTGAATTACAATATAATAAGAAAGAGACCAGCTGCAGTGGCTCATGCCTACAATCCTACCACTTTTGAAGGCTGAGGAGGGGGGACTGTTTGAACCCAGGAGCTGAGACCTGGGCAACATGGCAATACCCTGCCTTAAGAATCAAAGAAATCAATTAATTAATTTTTTTAAAATATGAAAGAATATATCCACTGTGCACTGATGACACCTTTTATCCAAGGTTTCAGACAAGACCAGAAACAGGCAAATGGTACATGAAGTCAATTTCAATTATGGGGCTTATTCTATTAATGCTATTTTTAATTCCTTTAGAAAATAATACAATTCTTAAGCAACCCTGTATAAATTCATAAAAACATCTCAATTGCTCTCATCAATAGTGGCAGCTTAAAATAGAAATAACATTTTCAAACATTTTCTTTTTTTTTTTTTTTTTTTTTTTTTTTTTTTGAGACGGAGTTTCGCTCTTGTTACCCAGGCTGGAGTGCAATGGCGCGATCTCGGCTCACCGCAACCTCCGCCTCCTGGGTTCAGGCAATTCTCCTGCCTCAGCCTCCTGAGTAGCTGGGATTACAGGCACACACCGCCATGCCCAGCTAATTTTCTGTATTTTTAGTAGAGACGGGGTTTCACCATGCTGACCAGGATGGTCTCGATCTCTTGACCTCGTGATCCATCCGCCTCGGCCTCCCAAAGTGCTGGGATTACAGGCTTGAGCCACCGCGCCCGGCCTTTAAAACATTTTCTAATGCAAAGTCAGAGTGTATCAAACACATAACTTACATTTGTTGTCTCTTTGAGCGTTTCTATTTTCTGTGAAAAATAATGTTTAAACAGAAATAATCAGAAGCATGAAGAAGCACAATTGTTTTTTACAGACTAGTCATTCAAAGAATTTTACCTACCTAGGACCTCAGTGAGAAAAAAACAAAAACAAACAAACAAAATAAATAAAAAGATTTGTACCAAAATGTACTCATTCTAAGTGAGTACAACCAAGTTGGGAATGGAGTACTTTTTATTTTATTTTTAATCTAAATCAATTATTTACATAAGAATTCCAGATATTTTATGAATTATATACCCTCTTTAATAAAATTCATGTGATTCAATTAAAGTTTGTAATAATAATATGAAACCTTCTTATTCCTTACCTGAAAACAAGTTTTTTCTTTTCTATGAACTTCACTTATTTTAAAATCACATTCATCTCTCCTAAATTGTGAGTTTCGCTCTTGTTGCCCAGGCTGGAGTGCAATGGTGCCATTTTGGCTCACCACAATTTCTGCCTCCCAGGTTCAAGTGATTCTCCTGTCTCAGCTTCCCCAGTAGCTGGGATTACAGGTATGCGTCACCACACCCGGCTAATTTTGTATTTTTAGTAGACACAGGGTTTCTCCATGTTGGTCGGGATGGTCTCGAACTTCAAACCTCAGGTGACCCACCTACCTTGGCCTCCCAAAGTGCTGGATTACAGGCGTGAGCTACCACACCCAGCCCTAAGTTGTTTTAAAATGACATGGTACTAAATCCCAAAACTAAGACTGAAAGGTGAATTAGAACAGGAGTTACTATTACCAGGCATAAAAGAGTCAAATGCCAGGCTATACAGTCAACGGAAATGCAAAAAAAAAAAAAAAAAAAAAAAAAAAAAAAAAAAAAAGCCAAGGAGAGGAAAAACGTTAATTAGAAAAAAGACAATATTCAAACTACAAAGCAACTGTCAGAAATGCAAGGGAGAGAACAGCAGAACCATAACAAAGCAGTATTTGTTTTGTTTCTTCATACATGGCTTTTTGTTTATTCTGAATATTCTTGCTGGTTGGTTTATTGGTATCTGAAGTGACCATACGTAAATATAATAACTTTCTACCTTCAACATATGATACATGAAAAGGAAAGAACTTACTCCTAGGGATATGATACAGAAAAGGTATTATATTAAAACTCTGGGCCGGGCGTTGTGGCTCACACCTATAATCCCAGCACTTTGGGAGGCTGAGGCAGGTGAAGCACCTCAGGTCAGGAGTTTGAGACCAGCCTGGCCAACATGGTGAAACCCTATCTCTACTAAAAATACAAAAATTAGCCGAGTGTGGCAGTGTATGCCTGTAATCCCAGCTACTTGGGAGGCTGAGACAGGAAAATCGCTTTAACCCAGAAGGCAGAGGTTGTAGTGAGCCAAGATCACACTACCGCGCTCCAGCCTGGGCAACAGAGCAAGACTCTGTCTCAAAAACAAACAAACAAACAAACAACTCTGTACATTATCCTTTTGTTTAATTATGAAACCATGACAGAAATTCATCAGAAAAGTCCCCTTTGAGGTCCATATGGCAATAATATTATAATAGGTCAATAATATTATTATAGTCAAGTAAAAACACACTAAGGTACTTAGTGTTCTCCAAAAGCCTCTTGAATTTAAAATCTTTAAAGTCAAAATCATGGTTATGGAAGTTACCTTTCTTTGTTCATCTTCTTTGCAGTTTTGAAGCTTGTCATCAAAAAGCTACAAGATTTTAAAAAATGGTTATAGTATCAAGCCACTTTGCTATACTGTGTACATTCACTAAACACAGAAAAGCAAACATTAGTTCTTAAACACATTTCTTCCAGGGATGATTTTTACGTTATTTTCAAGACATGTATTTTTTTCAAGGCACTCAATCAAAGTCAAATTCTATTGTATGAAATCATTTTTTTTTTTTTTTTTTTTTGAGACGGAGTTTCGCTCTTGTTACCCAGGCTGGAGTGCAATGGCGCGATCTCGGCTCACTGCAACCTCCGCCTCCCGGGTTCAGGCAATTCTCCTGCCCCAGCCTCCTGAGTCGCTGGGATTACAGGCATGCGCCACCATGCCCAGCTGATTTTTTGTATTTTTAGTAGAGACGGGGTTTCACCATGTTGACCAGGATGGTCTTGATCTCTTGACCTCGTGATCCACCCGCCTTGGCCTCCCAAAGTGCTGGGATTACAGGCTTGAGCCACCGCGCCCGGCTGTATGAAATCATTTTAACTCATCAAGGTCAATCACTCTGGAAGAATTATAAGCAAAAGAAAACAGATGACTTTTAAGAAATTAAAACATCAATTCAAACTTGAAGTTTTTCTGCTTTGTTTTTCAAGTTTATGATCAGTCCTTTTCCCAGCACCTTTGCTTTTAATTAATTTTAAGTAGAAACTGAAGGAGACAATTCATTTCAGTAATGATAAAGGAGATAGAGAAATCACCTCCCCATATTCCACCTCCCTCGAATTAAAATAGTAGCAGAAATTGAGCCACTAAAACACAGTTTCATGAAAATTTTAAACAGAATATGAACAAAATCTGGCCTTATTTTTCCAATTACGTCTACATATTTACCTTTTTCTTATGACCAAAAAAAGCATTATGTAAATATGCCACTTACCAATATAATTAGCGATGAAGATTTCCAAATAAGTCACCTAGATCTTTGAAGTCTGCTTTAAAAACTGCTGAACCACATGAGGGCTGTTTTTACTCAAAAATCAAGCTCAGTAACATTTCTATTTCTATAAATTTAACATACAAACTAATGCCATACCTTTAATTGTTCAATCAAGATTTGAAGGTAAGCATCAGCTTCTGTAAGTTTTTTGTCAAAGTCTTGGACACTAGGAATAAATCCTGAATCCAAACCCTAGAGAAAGAGAAAATTTGCAATAAATCTACCAGAACCCAAGCAATGAACGTTTAATAGTACACAAAATACTTCTTCCTTCATACATAAAGACATTTCAATTTTTAAAATATAGTTCTACTTTGACACAAATAATAGGTCTATTTAAATAGTGGCACATCAATCTTCCTCATCAACTTGGAGCACTGCTTCCCTTCTCATCAGTTACATATGCTGCTGCTCAAAATGGATTTATTCTTCTCTACAGAATCACTTTCTTATCTCCCCCAAGCCCAATAATTGGCTCCCAATCACCACCAGAACAACAGTAATTTAACAAAGGAAGATAAACAAAACCCACCTAGATTATCTACTTTCCCCCTTTTTGTTCAGTTTATTCCTCCCTTCCCTTAATGTTAACTTCATATTGTTTAGTTCTACCATTCCTCAACCCACCCCATGATCTCTGAAGTTTTCCTCCCTCCTCCCCTATTAAAAAAAGAACTTCAAATTTTTCTCTTCTAAGAGGTGGCCCCACTCTAAGTGAAAGCAGCAACACCTCTCCTAATCAAGTTTCCTACTCACTTTCACCCTTGGCATAAACGTTACACTCTAGACATGGTATAAATGTTTATTTATTTAGAAGGCCTACTTATTTATCTCAGTCTAAAAGTGCAGCATTTGCATGTCCTACTTTTTGCATACTTAAGAGCATGGGATTCTTATGTTTTAATTTTACCCAAAGAAACTTTTTGAGTTCTTAATCATCTGACTAAAAAATACATCAATCCTGGGTGTAAAACATAAAACAGCTGGAGACAATACCACAACCACCATGCCACATTTGCATGCCCAGTCGTCATACTGTTAAGCAGTTGGGTTAGGAACCGCTACTGTAAAAATCCCAACCCAACCACAAAATTCTGCACTAAATGGGTAAAATATACTTGATCAACATATCCATCTCACACTTCACTTGTCATCTCTTCCCTGCCTCTGCCCAAAGCATACTGATAAATTTTCATATTCTCATTTTAGTAAACTGAAGCCAAAGTTTATTTTATATTACAGCAACACCTGATCTTTGTATACTTTATCATTAAAGCATTTTTACAACCATTATCTCAAAACACCAAATTGAGATGTTATGATATTATGGAAACAGCAATGGGCTGACAAATCTGGTTACTAATTCCAATATCTATCATGATATTGTGGCTGTCCAAACTTCGGTTTTCTCACCTGCCAAATACAGGCATCCTCCTCCTATTATTGGTACAGCAGCTACTACTTCTACTAAAGACAACAACTAATAACACTATCACTTACTACTATTACAGTACTTTTGTTATTCTTCCCAAACTAACATTCACATTTTGAACCAAAGAAAAAAAAAATTTGATTAAAAATCTAAGTCTATTAAGACCATGGGAAAAAAATCAACTTATCTCGTAATTTGTTTTCTTTTTCAAATTCAAAGGCAATAAACGTCTAATTTTTTTTACATACATGTCAAGAAACTATTTGACAATGAGCATTATAAAGCCCCTTCCCAATGAGATAAGATGTATAAAAACAAAGTTTAAGAAAAAAATTTTAATAAACAATGTATATAAAATCCAGGTATTTTTATAAAATTGTGGTTAAACATCTTTGTTTTTAAAGATGACCCAAAGAATTTCCTATTATAGACATATAATATATATAGTTTGATAAAAGATATAGAAATGGATACATATTTCATAGACATTAGAGTACTGCACTATGAAAGAAAGAAGCAATTTATTTCCATGTTACTGTACCACAGAAAAATCAGGACCGTTTGGCTTTTTTTTTGGTTTTATTTCACATAGCAGTGTAACATGATTTTCAATAAACTATCAAGATCCAGTTAAAATCAGCCAAACACATTGTTTATGCTAAATATTTTTAAAGATCAATGGCATATTCATAAATGAATAAAAAAGCATCTAAATGAGAGGAGAAAAGTGATCTTCTAAGTATTTTCACTCTTCTGAATCCATTTAGAATTATCATTGTAAAAATCTAATTAAAACATCCAATTAGATTAAAAATCATCCAATGACTGAATGGAAACAGATTTACATTACTGCTATCTGAACCTTACCTAAATTAATTCTTCAAAAACCACCCTCTGATGTTCGTAAGACTCACATAAAGCTCACCTTGGCTCTTCTTAGAATTGCCTCTAGATAGTCTTCCACAACTCTTTTAACCCTAGAATAAACTTCACACTTCACAAGAGCCAAGCCAAAGATCTACTCATCAACCTATTTTTCTTCGGTTTATAAACCTTCTAAGAGGAGGTTTATGACAGCTATCAGCTTAAAATCCCAGAACTGGCCCAATCACCCTTGCATAGTAATTCACATATTTTTCATGTACTTAAAAGGAAATTTTATGTATATAGTTGCCCTAACTGTAACTAGTAAATTATCATGTACAAATTCATCAATAACACAAATCAGTAGTTAACAAAAACTGTTTTCTCAAATCTAGTAAAACTAATGCACTAGAAGAAAGCACAAGTATGACTATATATTGTGACTTACAGCAGAAGTCACCTAATTAAACTTCCCACTCACAGAAGTTCCTTTCATAAATCTTTGAAAGTCATCTAGTCTTAAGTATCTCATGAGATGAGAAACCCATTACTTCCTAATGTAGATTATTTTATAAAAATTCTCCTGAAGTATTAATTGTTCCTCTTTCCAATCAACATTTAGAACATTAAGCCACAATATTCATATTAATCCTTTTTAATGGAGTTTTATTTTTATTTTTTGAGACAGGGTCTTGCTCTGTCACCCAGGCTGGAGTGCAGTAGTGCAATCAGGGCTCACTGCAGCCTCAACCTCCTGAGCTCAAGAAATCCTCCCACCTTAGCCTCTCAAGTAGCTGGTACTACAGGCATGTGCCACCAAGCCCAGATAATTTTTAATTTTTATTATTTTCTGCAACATAGCAAGATGCTGTCTGCACAAAAAAATAAAGACTCCTGGGCTCATGCAATCCTCCCACCTCAGCATCCCAAAAAGTGCTGAGATTACAAAGTGTGGATGAATGTGCCTGACCAAGTTTTAAACAGGACTAACTCCTTTACCATGTTGAGGGTGGTCTTTGAAAAGAACTGGGAATAGGGCAGACCCTTTCAGACAGAGTGTGAATTCATACTTCTTACAGTAGCTTTTGAGAACAAGTAAATTGGGAGTCAGATACACATTCCAGTACTCTGTACTTGCTCTAAAATTTATAATTGAATATTTGAGTGACTTCTCTGAAGGATTAAAACTCCATAAGGGCAGGAACTATGCCAATCATTCATCAGTATCCTAATCAGAGCCAGCTCAGCGTTAAATAAATGCTCATGGCACTGGCTACCACAACTGGAGATTGTTGATACCACAACATCGGTCTTCATGACCTCCTCTCCCGAGATTTCTCTTGCCTTTCTGTTCTCTTTCTCCTTTTCTCTACTCCCCCAAGACTTTTATTCATGTTGTCTTTCCTTCTCTTTTGTCCAAGTCCTTCAGTAGTAACTGAAGTAATTATGCCACATTATTGGCACTCAGGGCCAAAGAGGTTGCTGCTCTTTGGTTTATTATACCGATGTGAGAGCCACAGCTATAATTTGATGATTCCTGTATGAATTCATTTAATGTTTAAATTATTAGAGAAATAAAGACAAAGTGGTCTGTGATGTAACAAGAAATTAAATTAGAAGAATCTCAATAGAAATTAAACTTCAATCTAACCATAAAATTTAGAAATCTGTAAAGAAAAACCATTTCTGTGGTGAATATGCTAAAAAAAACAGTCTCTGGTTTCCAAAAACACGTTATTAATAAGGAAATCTACTCTAGCTTAGGCAACCAAGTAAGACCCTGTCTCAAAACAAAGAAAGAAAAAGACAGAGAGGGAGAGAGGTTGGGGGAAGGGAGTGGGGAGAGAGGAAAGGGTGGAAGAGAGAGGGAAGAGGAGGGAAGAGGAGGGGAGGGGAGGGGAGGGGTGGGGAAAGAGGAAGGCAGGGTAAAGGGAAGGGCAAGGTGAAGGGTAAGGGTCGGGCAGGACAAGGGGAAGGGGAAGGGAAGAGCAGGGGAAGGGAAGGGCAGGGGAAAGGGAAGGGGAAGGCGAAGGTGAAGGCGAAGACAGGGTAAGGGGACGGGCAAGGGAAGGGAAGGGAAAGGGAAGGAAAAGAAAAAGGGAAGGAAAGGACAGAGGGAAGGAAAGGAAAGGAGAGAGGAGAGGGAAGGAAGGAAAGGAAAGAGGAAAGGAAACGAAGAGGAAGAGAAAAGGAAAGAGGAATGGAGAGGAACAGGAGAGGAGAGGAGAGAGGGAAAGAAGGAAGGGAGAAAGAGAAGAAAAGAACAGAACAGAAAAGAAAGAAAAGGAAAAAAGAGAAAGTAGATACATAAATTCAAGAATAACACATACTTCTATATCATCTGGGATCTATGTATCCAGTTTAACAGAAGAGAAACATGTACATCTAAACCAATTTAAGGGGAATTTCTAAAATAATATATCTAGACTTGTAGAAGAATATCAAACTGCCTTGAAACTGTATGTCCGTACTTCCTACTACCTTTCTAATAAAGTTAGGTTAACACTACTTTTTTCAGAAGGCACTTAAAAGCTAACAAATGTTCAGCAAAATCAATTCTTATTAATTATTTTAGTTGGGACATTAAACACCATTTATACTTTATACACATACATAACTAAATGTTTTACTCCCATTAAAAGGAGTACTGAAAGAGAAGTCCTTAAAACTATCTTAAGTACATATGAATTACAGTTGCTTCGGAGAGACACTTCCTTAGTGAAACAATACGAGTCAATTCCTGAGGCAGAGAAGGAGCTTTTAAAGTAATTCCTGCTGACAGAGGAAGAGTTATGAACAGTTGAGATAAAGGTGAGCTTCTTGAATCCAGAATCAGGAAATTAAGAAACCTGTGGGTGACCTGAGGAACTGAGAATAAGGTAGAACAGGAAAGCTGAGTAATAACATTCTAAAAAGAAATTCACAAATGAGTAATTATTTTCATATCTAATTTTATTTCACAGTGAAAACTTAAAGGATTAAGTGCCCTATATGCAGTACTTTTTTTAATACGGTAAAATCATATGTAATAAAAATATGTTATAAAAAGAGACAAAGAAAATATATTAGAAATGTTATTTCTTGTCTTATAGAAAAATTCAGAATAACAAGAAAAACAGGTAAGTTATCAGTAATAGAACCACAAAATAAAACAACAGCTTAAAAACTTAACAAAGGAAAAACACAGAACTAGCCTCCTAATGAAAAATAAATGGCATGAATCTGGACAAAAGTAGACATTTTTTTAAAATTAGCAAAAACACACAGCCTATAATAAAAGTAATGAAAACTTAGTAGGAATGTCATTTTGATTAAAATATGAGAATATTGGAAAGTTTATGTTCACAATTAGCAATTTGAGATGACATGCATCACAGATAATCTTTCATCCAATGAAAGAAGTATAGAGCATACTTACAATTCAATCACTTACAATTATTTTTGAAAATTCAAGAACTGGAGAGATACCAGAAGACTGGAAAAAAGCAAGTGTGGTACTGATCTTCCATAAAGGTAAGGAAAAGAGAGAATAGAAAGTTACCATGCTGTGAGTCTAACATCAATAATCAAGTAAAGGAATAATAAGAGAAAAATCTGTAACTACACAGAGGAAAAGTGGTACATGAGCAGCAAGTGGCAAGTTAAAAAAAAAAAAAAAAAAGATTATGCCAAACATAATGGCCTTTCTGTTCCTTAGAAATTTAAATTAGTAAATTAAGTCTTTAGAGAAATGACATTTTGTCTCCCTACCAAAAGTGGGTTTGATGATGAAAAAAAAAGCATATTAAAGAAACCTGAAATATTAATTATACCATGATTTTATGTAAGGCATACTAATCTGTGATTTCCTTGGATTATTGAAAATTTGGAAACATATAAAATCCCTATTTGTTCCTGTGGTTTATTCACTTCTGCTAAAGGAAGAACAGGACTTAGAAGAACAGAGAAGTTCTGAGCTTAAGAATTTCACCTCTTTTAATCCTAAGGAATATTCAACTATCAATTCATTTGGAGTGAAGATCATCAATTCAAAAATATCCATAAAATTGAGTCTAGTATTAAACCTTTCCTTTTACTGTACCTTAGGGAAGTTATTTTCCATTTAAGCCAATGTCTGGATAATCTAAGGCTTCAAATTAGGTTCTCTATTGTCAACATGGTAGCTGTGGCTACCTTACCAACCGCTAGGTACCCCCAGAATGCCCTAAAAAGTAAGGTCTTTTTCTGTAGTTCTAACTAAGCAGTTCTAACACCATAGATACACAATATATATTAAAGTTTTTTTCAGAGTATTAGGTACTCTACTAAATACTTTCCAGCTTTCTCATTTGATCATTTTAACACAGTAAGGTAGGCAGATATTAAACCCTATTTTATAAGTGCTTGCCTAAATCATCCAGCCGATTTTTTTTTCAATTGGGATATCAACCTAGTCCTCTGACCAAATCCATTATACTTTTCTATTAAATCACAATGATATTTAAAAGGAGTTCATGACAGAAGAGTACTAAAATATAATCTAAAATTTGCCTGAAGGCTCTTGACATAGTGGAAATGAGTACAAGCTTTAAGGACTCATATAGTTTTAAATCTTGAATCTTCAACTTTCTAATGAATTATCTGTGTGATCTAGCCAAATTACTTTTTCTACCTCCATTTTCTCATCCATGAGTATAATAATAAACCATTCAAGGTCACTGGAGAGATGAAATGAGTATTAGGTGCAAAGTAACACAGTGGTAGGTGTTCTACTTCCCTTTCATAATTTGGAGCCTTAGATAACCAGGATTCACCACTATATCTCCAGGCCGTTACATACAGAAAGCACTTAAGGAGTACTGATGGCTAAAATAAAAATGAATACATAACTAGATAATACTATAACCATAGGCAATTTTCATAGAGATCTACATTCAAGTAAAGGCTATGAGCATAAGTTAAACTGTATTTAACATACGTTTTAAAAACAACAAGTTGTAAGTTGATGAACTGCCAAGAAGATAATAGAGAATGGTAATAAAAAAGGAATGAATAACAGACAAAACAAGTGGTAAAACAAAGTATGGAAAACAGACCAGGAAAAATATTCCAATATGAGATGTTCAGGAAAGTACTGAGTATTATGACTGAACCACAAAAGGTAAATTGTACTTATTACCTTGGTAACAAAGAATCAAACAACATAAAGTTTTTTTTTTCATAAGAGAATCTAATTTTTGAACATATGTTAGTTCTTTGAAAAACCAGAATTGCTTTTATCTTTAAATTTACAAAGAGAGGTTCAGTTGTTGTTAAAATATAAATAACACAAAACCAATATGAATCGCACACATATAGTCCTGACAGAAAAGAGCTGCTTTACAAACAGGAATCAAGTACAGCTAAAATTCATGAACTTCAATCATAATCCTTGGCACAATTTCTTACTCTTCATGATACCCTCATCTAATACTAATATACCCTTCGATTTATAGAACAAAACACAAATACTAACTCCATAAAGTGATTTGGTCACTTAAACAACTAAACAGTAAAGGTTTGGGATTGGTACCATTTTCCTCTATTTAAATCACTGACAGCTTGTCTTTCCCAGAAACACCCAATTTATTCAACAAAGCCATGTAAGAAGTTACTAAACTAACCAAAACAAACAAAAACCTTAGTCTGTAAATAGGATGACCATATATTTTAGTTTGCCTGGAACAGTCAGTGTATGCCTGGTTGTCTCAGCAAAATTATTATTAGCAGCCTCCTTCACTCTCAAGTATCCCAGTTTAGGCTACTGCATCCTATACAGAGAGGGTGACTAAATTATACGGTCACCCTCTCTATATAAGATGTAGCTAGCATTTTTAAGACATAAATGTCATGAAAGGCATATAAAATTGCCTCAGATGATTCAGAATTCAGCAAACTGTCTTTTAAAAAAATTATAAAACCTAAAATGAAATGAGTTTACAGGTTCTGAATCCAGAAAGCAAACTACAGAAATAAAAGACACTGGAATTCAACGCAGTTAATATTAACTGAGTGGTTACCTTATGCTAGATAAGTAGACACATGAATAATACTGGAGTTGCATTTTTATGTTATTTTACTTACGCACTATAAGTTTCATTTTTAAAAATGTACACAAACACACACACACCCCCCCCGAAATAAAACACGTGCAACACAACACATGAAATGCAGTTAATCCTGGGGAATGGGATTGAGGAAAGGGGGCATTTGAGACAGGGACTCTTAGTTTTTACTTTACACATTCATGTTGTTTAATTTTTAAAATAAATATGCATTTATAATTTATATTCAAAAGCTTTATGTAAAAATGTTCAGAAACTACAGGTTATAAACATTTTTAGAAAATTTTATAACCATTTTAGCATGCAAGGTCATAAGAATTATTCTTTTAAAATTACCTATAAAATTCTAAAATGTTTTTGAGGAGTAAATCTGGCAAATGCTGAAGCTGCTCAGATACACATTGCCAAGCAAAAAAGTAGAATAACAAATTTATAATATCATTTAAAGGTAAAGCATGCAGTAGCAAAAAGCACTTAAAACTTCGTAATCACTACTATACTGGAATAAATAAAATAATGAAAAGCGGCCAATAAAACAAAGTGAAATGGCAAAGTTTTTTTTTTTTTTTCCACATCCTTCCTGCCAACATGATTATGACTCAACATTCAAGAAGGCAATCTCTTAAAGAAGAAAACACCTACTTCATCACACCACCTAACAAAGCGCTGTTGGACTACATGGTGCTGGCAATCGGCTTAGGTTTTCCTTCTGAATACTTTAGTTGGTTAGGCTACTTGTAATATCTTAGTTAAAAGTCACAGGGTAAATTATTCCAGATCTAAATAAACTCTTGAGAAGATGAAAAAAAATATTCTTCCATTCTCCAATCTCATATTAAGAACATTTTGGAAAACCTATCTGGAGTCTACTTTTAAGGATCCATAAAAAATGAGTAAGTTTCCTGCAAATGTTCTACGAACAACTAGGAAAAATTTACATTCAATATGTGAATCCTTAAAACTGAGTATTTTAGTAGTTCAAGTTCTGAAATAACCGCAAAATTCTTATAGCCTAATACTTATTGAAAATTGGATTATGAAATGTTTTCAGAAACAAAACCTAATACAGCCTTCTAACAAGACTGGATCTCTACAGCAGAATATAACAAATTGACAAATTAATACTCAAGGGGATAGCTAATCAGACTAACAGATGATCAGTCACATGAAAACAAAACGGCCTTGACTTGAATAGACGCAACAATTGTTCTGACATTTATCTCTCAGAAATTATATATGCTAAAGCTGCCTTCCTATATCTGATTTTAGCTGCCAATGAGTATCAGTTAGAAGAAAACATTTGGTTTTTGCTAAAGTTGCTAAAAAAAAATGCATACAAAATTACTGATTTAGTTTAATTGTCAGAAATCTATCAAGATGATCTAAAATACAAGCCAATCAAGACAGGACTTTGTTTTATTTTTTTTATCTCCCCCAGGCTAGTGTCTGGTTTGTAGCAAGTCCTCAGTAAAAATTCTGGAAATGAATTAAGGAATTCTGCAATGTGCCTGTTAATATTTAAACACAAAAAGTAATCAAAGAACTGAAAGTTCTTGCAGATTATAAATCAGAATATTCATGGAAAAATCATAAATAACTCAGACTCATTGTTAGAGATTTATTATATTAGTTGGTCACTGCAATGCATGGCTGTTGAATTTTTCTAAAGCTAATTAAAAGTTTTTAAGAAGAAAGAAATTGACTAGGAGAAAAAGACACTGAAATAAATGGCAGTAAAACAAGAAGCAAGATGAGGCAATGACAATGGTCTTGTCCCTCTAAAAACTCATTCTCTCATGCCAAATCTTATCCTGAGCACATTTTTACACATACTATTCTGGGTCTTAGAATTTAGGGTTACAATAATTATTCACTGGGCATCTCTTATGACTATGCCCTGCGCTGGATGTTTTGGGGATGCCAAGATGAAGCAGATACAGATCTAAAAGAGTTCATTCTATTAGTGGAAATATATATCTGTCTACAAGTAATTGATTCAAGCATGTTATCAGAAAGATGTTAAGAAATTCAAAGGAGAAAGAAGGATGAGAAAGCTTTCACAGAGGAAGCATTAGAGAGTATAGGATTTGGACAGAAATGGGAGGGGTAAAGTACTACAGCAGTGGGCCCTGCTAGGAAACAGCATAATCAGATACAATGTTTGAACTTTTCTTTAATGAAAGGACTACAGTACCTACAGAAGTGGGAGTAGGGCTAAGAAAACTAACAAGGGATGCTGAGGTACTCAGGAATTAGGAGCTGCAAGTCGCCTGAAGGAGCAAGGAAAAAACAAGGTTCCCATAGGCCAGAGGAGGAGCTACTACTCAGTGGACATGAATGGCTCTAAGATAGTCACTGCCAGAACTGCCTCAAAGTAGGGAAGGAGAAGAATAAATACTCCAAAGGCCTTTTGTCCCTT